TCCTCTCGTCAATTCGCATCGAATGATATATATGTTGACCTCGAAAGGTCAAGGTCAAAGGTTGACCTCAGGTCACGTGACCTCGAGGTCATCATGTATATCATTCGATGCGCCTTGACGAGCTGAACACAATGAGACCATCCGCGCGGCTGTATCGTGTTCCTGTACGGAGTTATTGTCAAAAAACCGCTGGTGACCTTTGATGACGTCACATGACCTTACAGCTGCCCAACAGCAAAACAGACCTCAAGGTAGTAAAGGTTGATCGTATATGAGGTCATGTATGGTTTATGGGGCCATTCCGACCCGTTTTAGTGGTACAAACAGGGAGTTGATTTTTCCCCCATTGACTTATAATGGGGAGGTCGAGAAATTGACCTGACCTTAGGTCATCGATATCAAAATTCCGAGATATACAATTTGTAGCTACTAATGACCTTATAACATCCTGCGACTTTCAAAGGCCTCCGACATCTACTGTAGCTCTGGTACGGTGACAAAGTTGCAAAAAAATTACTTGAGGCTGGGTCATTTAAAGTGACCTGGTGACCTGACCTGAAATGTTAGGAGGTTCAAATTTGCACACCATGTGTAAAATTGATGAGGGAATAGTCGTACCAAATTTCGCGGCGCTACGCGCCGCGGTTTTCCCGCTATTCGCGAAAAACCTTAGGGGGGGGGGCGGATATCCGCCCCCCCCCGTCGGTGCGCGGGTTAACATTGACTGGCTATTAGAAAGCTCAGCTTTCGATATGGTAAACACTTTTGAGCTGGTAACGGTACATGAAAAGCAAATTAGATAACAGTGTTGAGTGTAAACTATTGCGTATGTGTCGGACATCTTTGGACAAATAGCTGGCTTGGACATTTTTGGACGGACAGTCGACGTAAGCATTGGACATTGGACGGACTTTGGACATACGTTTTCTGAAATTGACACCACTAGTGGTGGCTGGTTCTCTAGGCAATACTACTAATCTACAATCAGTTTCTCACATCCTTGTAATTTATCAGCATATACAGGAAATTAGTTTCGTTGAGTTGACCATTTTCCCGGACCGTCGCGTTTAAAATGGAAGAATGATTTAGCATGAGAACCTCAGCAACATTTCAGTCATCGGTTTTGGTCCGACAATAGTCATGGGGGAAATAGCCAGATGGGGAAGGAGTGTCCCTCGTTCTTCCTTTTTTGTTAGTTGAATGCCACCCTACTCGTATTTTACCTCTCTACATTATGCCACAGATGACATAATAGCTGGCTATGTGGGTTATTTTGGTTGTTATGGCAGTGATTATTGATATTATGTTAACTTATTTATGAATGCACAAACTAGGTCTCTGTCTGCGACTGCGACACTTTATACGTGACCACATTACTTGGCATTGTGGCAGAGACTCGGGTCTTCGTCTTTGCCATTACACTCTGTCTGACATATTTATTATGTTCCGACTGCCATTCGGGATTGCGTTATTCTTTGATTGAAGCTATTCATGTCGCCTGCATCATGTTGGTGTTGTTGGTGCTCTGTATCTGTGTCATTGTGGCCGTGTTTTTGTCAACGTCTCGTCAGTTGGTCATATCTCCTTTTCTCTGTCAGTGTCATAGCTCGTGTGATGTGTGGCGGCTGGCTGGGCTGCCCGGGTCGTGTCCTCGTGTCTCTGTCAGTGTATGTATCAGTGCGATTATCTGTGTGTTGTTGTGCGGCCGCTGGCCTGGCCGAGTCTCCAACCGTTTGTGCCATTACTCGTGTGATGTTGTGCGGCTTCTTCGCTGGTCTGGTCGTATATGTGTGTCTCTGTCTGTGCCATTACCCGTGTGGTGTCGTGCGCCCGCTGGCCGGAGCGGCCGGGCCGTGTCGGCGGCGCTCCGCCCGCTCTGACGCTGCCGGCCTCCGCCGCTGTGCCGGCAGGGCGCCGTCGACACGGCTCCCGTCGCAGAGGCCGTCCTCCAGTGGCTCACCGACAACAAGATCCACCACACGGTGTTCGCGCGCACCGTGCTCGGATGGAACTCGGCCTTCACACCGCTGCTCCGTAAACCGGTGCCCTGGCACGAGGCCGACCAGCGCACGCGCAAGGCCTACCAGGAGATGCTGGGCTGGCTGCAGCGGCCGCACCAGGAGCGGCTCGATACAGTACGCGAGAAACAGGACCAGATGAACCGCAAGCGGCGCACCGAGAGCTCGCAGAAGGACCAGCGCCGCCGGCGGCCGGACGCTGCCGGGCCGCCGCTCCAACAGTCGCCGATGGGCGTCGGCGGCCTGCCCGGGGAGCCGCTGCCCGGCTTCGGCATGGCCGTCAGTGGCCTGTCCGCCGAGCCGGCCGGCTACAGCGAGGACGAGTTCTCGCAGCCGGGCCTGCCGGCAGTGGGCGCGCCGTACGCGCCGCTGGCCGGCGGCGGGCCGACCGCCGTGGCGCCGCCCTCCTACCAGGACTCGGTGGTGCAGCAGCAGCAGATGGTGGGTGGAGGAGGGTACCAGGAGCGGCCGCCGCCACTCTACAGCGCCCCGCTGCCCGGCTACGAGGAGCTGAGCGGCGGCTACGGCGCGCCGGTCGGCTCCGAGCTGACGTTCGCCACTCAGCTGGGGCCTGTCGAGCAGCAGCCCGCGCAGCCTCCACCCCCGCAGCAGCAGACGGCGCCGCTGTCGCCGCCGGAGCTGATGCCGCCGGCGGACGGACGGCCGCTGCGCTCCCAGATCAGCCCGCTGCAGCGACGCGCGCTCATCGACATCTACCACGTGACGGCACGGCCCTCGTCGGCGATGCGGCAGCTGATCGCCAGCAAACTGGACCTGCCCCAGCGCACCGTCACGAACTTCTTCAGCGCGGCCCGCACGCGAGGCATCCGTAAACAGATGGGTCCCACGGCGGGCGAAAAGGAACTACCGGCGGTGGACGCGCGCCCCTGAGGGCCGAGCGCCGCCGCACGTCTGTGTCGCTTCCAACAGTGCCTTTACATGGTTGTACAAACTCGCGGTCGAAGCCGGAAGGCTGGCTGGCGTCTGCTGTGAACTGATGTGCCTTGAGGGCGTTGGACGCCAGCTATAGCCGTTAATGGATTTTGAGACCTCGCTGGACGGCTCCCGAAGAGCGCAGATCTTTTTACCTGATATTTTGGTATCGATGATATTGTACCGCGGCGTCTTCCACGGACGTCTTTGGCTGTAAAATCGGAGGTGAATTGGGTTGTTCTGCGCAGATTGATTTTATGACTGATTACAAGGGCCTTGTGCTGGAACCTGATTGTAGCCCGAATCTCAGAGGAGACTCGTTCGCCGAAATCGCTATTGGCTCAGTTAGAGTCTGAGCGGTTAGACGAGAAAGACGTATTCAGCAGTGCTTTCGTAAAAGAGCATAATTGAGCTAGAGCGGCGTGCGCCCTTCAGTTAGTGAGGCGCCCGTTTGGTACCGTATGACCTGATCGTGTTCAGTGCCTTGTGTGGTGCCGTGTTGATTAAAGGCCGTCGCTTGCGCCCTGGTTGGTCCTGTGTCCCTGTCGTGTTCAGTGCCTTGGGAGGTGCCCGGTTTTCGCCTGTGTGCTCGTCCTCCCCATGTCCGCATTTCTGGGCCGTGTTCAGTGCCTTGTGCCGGGTGGCTGGCGGCGGTCGGTTGTGTTATCGCCGCCCTCTCAGTTAGGGAGCGGTCGGCCGGCTGGCAGGCGGGGGCTCCGTGCTGCCGGACTGCGGTAGTTGGGTCTGTGTGGGGGTCAGCTATATACCTATACCGTCCTAGTGTGAGGGGTTTGAGGGAGCTCCCCCGCCTGGTTTATAGCAGGGTGCCACAAATACGGACGTATGACCGATTTTAGATGGTCCTTTCTGTTAGCATTTGCATGTCGCGAGCAGCGTATTTTTGTTTGTTATTCTGTATGATAGTCTATTTTTGTCTTGATTGTCGTTCCTCCAATAAAGGTATCCCGCATGGTCTCGGAAATCGGTTGGCTTTTCTAACTAACTATTATATGCGGTAGTTTGATAAATGAGACGGCCAACGATCCAAGAAAGGCTTGGTTATAACGCCAGCTTAATCTGTAGCTCATCTACCCACATTAATCGATCGAATGTGGGAGCAGAATTGTGAGATAGTTTCGTGGATGCCGTAGACTTAATAGCCGCTTGTCAGACTCGAGCAGCGCCAGCGAGATAAAACCGTTCGGCGTCTGGCGTCGCCAGCGATATAAGGCAGATGTGCAGAACGGTAGACAGAAACCAAGAAGCCATGTCCATTCCGAGCCAAACTCGTGAGAAAGACGTGATTGAAACCAGTCTCGCCGCGCCGAAAACACCAGTTCCTGTCCCTGAATAGACTGCAATAAATCTGCCAAGCCCAAATTGCTAGTTCGCACATGAGAGTAACCCGAAGACTGACGCTCTGTGCGTGCTGAAATCACCAGTTACCGTCACAAAAAAAAAATGAGTCGGAACCCGTCAGTCATTCTCCGGTCTTGAACAGAATGATCCGCGAGCACGGAAACTGCATAATCACGCTGGTAAACGGGAGTGACTGACGCTTCAGCGCTGTCGCCGCGCTTCGCAGTGTCTTCCCCAGGCGCTGGTGCGGGACGAACCGTTGGGAACGAGTGACGATGACCGTGCATTTGGCGAGGAGAGTCACGGTTCTGTCGCCAGACGAGCTCAGATGACAAACGTCGAGCTAGGGATGGGGAAAGAGTGGGATGGTTGGCGTGTGCGGGTGCGTGGGGGCCGGAATGATAGACGATAGACCTCGGTATACAAAGGTCTATGGATAGACTGTCAAGACTGATGATCTGTGCTGGTGGTGATATGACCGTTTGAACCAGTACCATTGTATTTCCTCCCATCTGGTAACCCCGTCCCCTCCCCGGTGTGTTTCAGATGACCGAGATGGAAATTCCACGGAACCGTGCCGAGCGTTGTCTGCGAGAGCACCACGGCGACGTGGTGCGCGCCCTGGTCACCCTCACCCAGTAACACCTCACCCCACCCGACCGACCCACCGCTTCATCAATACACGGCCTCTGTACTCAGTCTGTCTGTATTGGCGGGGCGGTGTTCCCGACTCATAAGGGGTACCGGCGGTTAGGTACGCAGGCACGGTACATTGGTACACAATGCGGTACCAAACGGTACCCAACATGAAACAATTGTGAGACACATCGGCGAATGTCGCGAAATACCCGGTGTCCCCGAAATGACATACAATGATGCGCGCTGAACACTTTGGCAGCCACATGCTCATGAACCCCCGGTATCAAAATACCTCCAAGACCCCCGGCGGTGCATTCACTAGCCGCATCGATACGACCGACGGGGACCGTTTTCACGGGCGCGCAGTCCTGAAACGAACACTGCGCGTGCCCCTATCGGGCGATTACGGGTCGTGAGACACGGGCGACCATCACGAGGTTGTTTGTTCTGAGAGAGCGCGTCACACAGCAAGATAAATACGATTAGAGAGCGATACTCCTGATGAGTTATCGGGCGGCCACAGCGCCCTGACTGAGACTGTCTACCGACCGGTCGGCGACACTATCACGGTACGCGGCGGCGGGCGCCATACTAGAGCCATCTGTTGGCGACAATCAGCTGCACATGAGTCGGGCGCGGGCGGCAGAGCGGGTCACCGCCCGCGCCGCCGTATACAAAACACCTCAGCCGGAGTAGCGGCTCGGCCGTTACACTGATAATACTCCGGCGCCACATCACTGACGTCAGGTACGTCATCAACTGACGTCACTAACTTACGATCACGTCATCACTGGCCGCCCACCGCGGCGGGCGGCGCGCATTGCACGGAAGGTGAAGGGACGGCCGCCACCGGCGCCCAGTCTCCAGTAACCCGGTGTGTGTCCAGGTGGCGGCTTACCACGAGCTATAATTAATAAGTCAGGCCTTGTCAAGGACTGCGGTCAATAGGTCAGCCTGTAACAAACTGTAGCTTGTAGGTCGGTTCTGTAACGAACTACAGTCTCTAAGTAGGCCCTTTGACAGACTGCAACCCACAGAGACAGACCCTATCACTGACTGCGATCATCTGGGCCAGCAGGCGGAGCCCTGGGCCACTGACTTACTGTAGGCCGATATCGCGTACCATACAAAGCCTCTGAAGTTTTGTATCACCGACCATAGAACCTCAGTAGCCTGGTATCACGGACCCAGACTCTAGCCTCTGTGGACGACAGTACGGTCTGCCACTGTGGGACCGCAGACACTGAAGCCTCTCTGCATGACGGCGGTAACAGCCGGTGCTACCAGCCGTCGCTGACCGCTCTCGCCCCGTCCAGCGGTGTCGTAGAGCCCGGAGATGAGACGAATGATGATGGACCGCTGATGCTGAGACCTGACAGGCACAGGAGAGCGTTTGTTACACAGTGTCACTGACACGATAGTGGCACACTCAGTTCACTACACAGCCGTGGTCACAGGCGGCGATACGGCCTCATACATTGCGTTCACTGTTGGTGCCTACATACTACATAGCTCTGAGGAGCATCAGTAATACCTACACAGAATACGACAGCAGGCTGGCGTTACCGGGTAATATGCTCACACGTATAATGGAGGTTATACTGGGTGTAGACGTCCGGGAGGGTGTATTATCGGGACATTTCACGCCGTGGGAAGTTCCGTGCTTTTACGGTGGTTGCCAAGTCGGTTAAATGCGACGTAAAGCACGAGTAATACACATAAAACGCAACGAGCGTCCGTTACTACATGCATGCACGGCAAAAACGCTTTGGGAATGAAACTGTGCGAACGACGATTAAATGCGACCGCGAGCCAATTTCGTGGTCCGCTGGTGGATCATCGTGGTCGAAATTATGTGAACATTGTGGTAGCTTAAAATGCACGGGCACGCTAGCACCAACAGCTAGACTAGCGGATACTGAAACACATCTAACAACTTGCGCTACTGGTGTGACGGTTCAAGCAACCATCCTGGGATACCCGTCTGTCCGACTGAGTATTGATTACGCCGTCTGTAGCCCGATGAATCAGTCAGAGAGTGCGCACTGCGCAAGTAACCCTATCTCGGCGTGTGGTGGCACCCTAGTTTTTTTCAGACCACCTGACATCCACAAGACATGGTGTAGTGTGCAAGTCACCGTGATTTGCTATTTCTAGGTTAACTGAGGTTCGTGGCGCGTGGTTAGTAACGGATACTTTGTGCCTATCACGATAAGTTTGAGACTAAGTTCACGTGACCAGTTCCCACTGTGGCCTACTTTGAGGAAATGAACCGAACCGCTCGTCGGCGGCGGCGACCGTCCCTTCCTTCACACTATGGTCTGCTGAACAGCTCATTTCCTCAAAGAGCACTCAGGAAACCGTGACTCGGAGAGCTTTTGGACTATTTGTGAGTTGCTTTCCTCGTCGTGACTGCCGTCTGACTGAAGATGTCTGCCTCACAGCTGTCCGACTCATCGTGCATGTGGGTGAGTGTATCCTACTCACTGAGTTGGTGATTTGTCCGACTCACCGTTTGTGAGCTATCTGATCGGGCTCTCCAACTCACTGTATGTAGGAGTATCTGACTCACTGTGTGTAAGAGTATCTGACTCACTGTGTGCGGGTGAGTGTATCCGACTCACTGTGGTGAGTTGGTGAGCTCTCCGACTCACTGTAAGTTGGTGATCAGTGTGACCCACTGTGAGTTGGTGAGTGGTGAGTGCAGGCTCAGCAGCAGCGGCGGCGGCCGGTCCGGCTGGGTAGTGGGTAGTGTGTTTAGTTAGTTACTAATATGGCTCGGTTCCCCGACTCCCTATGAGTTGGTAAGCTCTCTGACTCACAGTGAGTTGGTGAGTGCAGGCCGAGCGGCGGCGGCCGGTTACAGTTGTGTGACTATCCTCTCCGACTCACTGTGAGTTGGTGAGTGCAGGCCGAGCGGCGGCGGCCGGTCGGGCTGGTCGGCGGCCGCCGCCGGCGGCGGTGCGCGAAACTCCATCGACGTGACCCGGTCGATGAAGGCGTTCACCTGACGCAGTGACATGGCGTTGTGCAGCGTCTCTAAGGGCCGGATGGACGGCACGCCGCCGCAGCCCTCGATGCCTGTCAGAGCGGGGAGGGATAGGGTAGTCAATTACTGCACTTCTTCACTGCTTCAGATACCTCAGCATATGCATCAGCCCGTCATGGAGCTGCGCAGACTACACTCCCAGCACATCCACTACTAGTTTTCGCTAATATCTACCTATCCCCGCCTACCCTGACGCTACTCCTAGTGTCCCTCTGAACCGGCCCCTTTAACATATTTGTCTCATGTCGCCCTTCCCCTACCCGTACTTCAAACCATGGACACCTCAGAACTTATATCCCACATTACTCTATCCACATTCATCAGCCGTACTCTATACCACGGTTGGTTCACACCATTCATCCACCCCGCCATCTAGTAAATACTGCAGAACGTGTGATCCCGCCGCCCTCCCTTCCCCTCTCGCCCCTCTACCCACCGATGGCCGTGACAGGTGTGAAGAGTGACTTGAGCTCGGGCGCCGACGACGACCCGCTGATGACAGCCGTGGAGAACAGGGAGCTGGCCGAGCCGCCGGGCGCTCCCAGCTGCAGCTGCTGGTTCAGGATGGACAGCTGGTGGGCGTACTGTGTCTGCGAGGGTACAGAGTGACGCTGCCGGCGCAGCTCTGTGGAGGGGGGGGAGAGGGGGTTAGTGGCTGAGAGGGCACCGTACTGTGTCTGGGATGGTACCGAGTGACGCTGCCGGCGGAGCTCTGTGGAGGGGGGGAGGGGGTTAGTGGCTGAGGGGGCACCGTACTGTGTCTGCGAGGGTACCGAGTGACGCTGCCGGCGGAGCTCTGTGGGGGGGGGGGGGAGGGGTTAGTGGCTGATGGGGTACCGTACTGCGTCTGGGATGGTACCGAGTGACACTGGCGGCGGAGCTCTGTGGGGGGGGAGGGGGTTAGTGGCTGAGAGGCACCGTACTGTGTCTGCGAGGGTACCAAGTGACGCTGGCGGCGGAGCTCTGTGGGGGGGGGGGGGAGGGGGAGGGTTAGTGAGTGAGACGGCACCGTACTGTGTCTGCGAGGGTACTGAGTGACGCTGCCGGCGGAGCTCTGTGGGGGGGGAGGGGGGAGGTAAGTGGCTGAGAGGGCACCGTACTGTGTCTGGGATGGTACCGACTACCGAGTGACACTGGCGGCGGAGCTCTGTGGAGGGGGTAGTGAGGGAGTGGTAAAGAACGGAGTAGCTATGTATGTGGAAGGGGGAGAGGTTGATGGAAGGGGTGACGCTGCCGGAGCAGTTCTGTACAAAAGGGAGGGAGTAGTAGGCGAAAAGGTCTGCCGCAGGGGACAGAGAGGTGAATTACTGGCGAGCTGTTGGTGACTCAGCCTTGTGGTGATGGAGAGGTCGGGGGTAGGGTAGGAATGGACGGAACAGATCTGACTAGGGCCAGAGAGGTCAGTGAATGGGGTGGTCAAAGACGGGGCAGGTCTGGTGGGAAAAAACAGCCGGGGTGACTGATGGACGGAGTACACGTATATCATCCAGGGGTGGCGGACGTCAGTGGATGGGGTGGTGATTGAAGGAGCAGCTCTGATGGGGAGGGGTGAGGTGAGATAACTGACAGTGGGATGGCAATGGACAGAGCACTGTGAAAGGTTGTACGGAACGCGGAAATAAAACAATAACGGGCAAATAAATAGACATGTTTGGTAGTCAGACCATTATTTGGTAGCTACTAACTATACTAGACAACTGATTCTACTCAGCGATAACTACAGCTATGTAATTGGCTAAGCGGAATGCTTTATTCTGCTAAGTCGATTTTAGCTTTCACAAGCACATCATAAAAGGCGCCTAAGAAAATCGGGCCACAAGAAAACCGATATTCTTCCATGTATGCATGAATGACTAAAAGTCCTAATTAGCTCGACGAGTAGATTCAGCTTTTCTTGATTATCACAATATCCCCGTTTTATTGGCTCACCTTCGTCGTCGTCGTCTTGCTCGCTGACGCCGTCTGCTGGCGGGCAGACAAGCCGAAGTTAGTCACACGCTAACTAGATGGCGGGGCAGTCGGGCGTCCTGGGGCCGGCCGGGGTCGGACTGCACCGGGGTCATCACAGACAGAGGCGGTACGGGTCATGGCCGGACTACACCGCCACATGCGCTCTGGTCCAATGACCACTTTACTGCCGCAGCTGACCGTCTAACCTGCTCGTCGTGCCGAGACTATCTGCTCTAGCTATAGAATTATACTTGTATTCTATCGCGTCCCGTCTTTTAGTTTTCACTTGAGCCCTGCATGGGTAAGAAGCAGAGGCCTCCCTCGCAAGATATCCGATTAGGAGGTCGTCATAAATATAGTGAAATGGTAAGGGATTATAGCGAGGTTATGTTCTACAGTCAACATCTATATACATTATACATTATACATACTCTAAATACAATCTAATCAAACACAGTACTGTGTAACCAAAACACAGCTTGGCGCTGATGTGTGTGAAGCACTGTGAGGAGCCTACACTACCACTTAACTGTCCCAGGTCTCTGAGGCGCCGGCAGCCCTAGCAGACATAGCCTTCAGCAAAGGTCGCTGTCCCGTGCCTGACCCCACTGGGAGTGACTGCTGAGTGCTGGCCAAATATGATAAATACGTGCCGCGGAGAGGAGCACATGCAATGACCCCCAATGACCCCGGGGCGCCCCACCGGACCCGCGCGGCCGGCCCCACACCCCTCAGACGATACAGCACACACTGCGCGTGCAGGATAGTAGTTGAAGATAGATACAACTAGCTTTTACAGAATCGTGCAATGACCTATTTCTAATTAACGTCTTTGAGTGAGGACAATTTGAAGAGGGCGATTATCATCAGCCAGTGTCTGATATATGCTAGCCAGTCTGTCTGTCGTTCCATGTGCCTACAAGGTCTCAGTCCGTCTCTATATTATACCTCTTCTTATTGTCCATTTGTGTGGTGTCTCTGAACACCCTTAGGTAGCAACCAGCATGCAGTAGAAGTGGTGGAGAGTAAAGCACACGGTGTAGCCTGCGCCCTTGGCCGATGCTGTGCTTTGTAAAGCGTGTAAAGCGAAGCACCCATTTGAGCGTTCCGCAGTGGCATGGTGGAAAGACGACAGGCCTAGCAGCCGCGCCTCAAGCTCCACTTGGCGCACAGGGACAGAATCATCATTCATCCGACCCAGCCCAACCACCTAGAAAGTAGCAGAATAGCAGCGACCTAGCCACGCGTTTGCTGATAGAAGCCACCAAGCGACGAGCTGCATTCCGGAAAGCGTTTTGTGACAGCTGCACTTCAGAGGATCACTCAGTCTTCTCAACAGTAAGAGTCCAACCACAGCTAGAAAAGCGTTCACGAACTTGGACTGCACAGCTCTGCGACTGACCACAGGAGTGACCTCGCTGGTCACCGCGTCACGGCTATGCATGTCGTGCAGTCAGGAAAACAGGACTGCTACCATCTTTCCATAAAGAAGGTAGGAGAGTGCTGTAGGTAAAACGGCACGGAGAGGAGAGTGAAGCCCGCTCCCGTCTGTCTCTTCACCCGCGTCCGCTTACCGCCTGCCCAGCTAGCGGGCCGGCTCCGGTCACCGGGGACCGCCGCCGTCCGCTGACGGAGCGCTGAGAGCAGTTGGAGCAGCGCCGAGCGCACCGACGCGGCACGCGCCCGCCGCGCACCGCCGCCGAGCTCCTCTGAAGAGGTAAGTTCGGAAATATGAGCTAAGGTGTGATCGGAAACGAACGGAGCTCTCTCAGGCGTGCAAGAGAAAACATGCATATCTATCAAGCATCGTTAATCATTTGACCGATATTGCAAGAGCTCTGGATAGCTCAACCTTACTCGAACTAGCTCAGTGCAGTCAACCAGCCTCTGGGGCAGGTGCTTGAGCTTGGGCCTTCTTAACAGCAGCTAACGTGCGTTGCTCTCAATATTGTGTGCGGATGGTTTGGTGAGTGGCCTTTTATCACATCAAAGGGGATGGTCGCATGCCAGGTTAGTGCGTCAAAAGAATTTAGATAGGATGTCAATGGAAACAAGAAATAATGAATGGTGCCTTCTCGCAATGCGTCAATATTTCTGGAACACATTCAACTGCGTCATCTTGGAGCATGTCCAAAGCATCACATCTTTATCTAATTCATAATATTACGCTCGTCAAGCTGAACTTCAACCTACAATGAGAAACTGAGATGGCAATTCAACGACATATTTCTTGAATGCTTTAATATTTTGTACCTACACTTGCAACTAAAAAGCAAACAATTAGCTTCATCTTTACAGAACCACTTGATAGAACTCCTGGGCCTACGGCCCAATTTCGCCTACTGTAAATACGTAAAGGTGTGGTAAAGGTCATAATACAGCAATAAACTAAACCAGATATAATGCCGTCTGTAGCAAACTCCTCGCACAGTAGGACGCTTCAACAAGCCTCCCTAGATTGAGCTTTTAACTTCCATCAAACTTTGCCAGAAAAATACAAAGAAATACACAAAGGAATTGCAAAATGCGGCCGTGTCTCATTACTGAGTGTTTGAACAGCGTGTCACGAGAACGACTCCATAGGTCCTGCAAAATATGCACTCAATTATACGTCAGCTTGTGGCGAATAACTGCCCGTGTTGGAATGTGTTCAAGAATGGCCTTAATCCCTTGCCCTGCACGAGCCGATGCAAGGTTTCTTCCGATGTTCATGCCGGTGTGTTTCTTCCGATGCCGGTGTATTTCGACAACCATCTGGATCCATGGCAACCATTTCAAGTTCCAACCTTCTGAAACGGGTTCCACATCGAATCCCACCGAGACTGGCGAATCACAAACCAGGTTGTCCCTTTTCTATTCACCCGTGTGGTTAACTTCACTCACATAGTGTAAGTGTGGAGTGTGGTGAGTGTAAGGGTGGTGAGTGCGGGTGTGATGAGTGTGAGTAAACGGCCGGCCACTCATACTCATAACTTCCTGTTAAATCTACCAAATACTCGCTCCTGCCTAAGCGCTCACTACTAATAAATCGGCACTAAGTCCGTCTACGTCTATTCCGTCTATCTGTCTGCGTATATGTGCACGTCTCTCCCTGTTCCGTCTATCCGTCATGCTCATCTGTCTCTGTCTCTGCCTGAGTACGTCTCTCCGCCCCACCCGACTATGTTTGTACATCTACCGTCTCCCGGTACCCACCTGGTCGCACTGCCGGCGGTGGTTCGGTAATGCCCCGCTCCATCAGACCCTCCAGGCTCCGGGGCCGCTCCTCGGCTCCCGTGCCGGCTCCCTTACGGTCCGGGGAGCCGGGGTGGGAGCACGAGCGGAGCAGGTCCTGGTGCGGCGGCGACAGGTGCGCGGGAGACGTGGCCACGCGGCTGGAGGAACACAGAGGCCAGCCGTCAGACGGGCGGACGATAAGGACCGAACCGGGGTGAACACAACGCGTGTACTAGCTCTTCTATCCGTCTCACACACGAACTATGTGGCAGTCAGGCGGTCTATAGGCAGGAAGTAAGCTGAAATTTGCATCCCCGTTTATGCAGGGGACGGTGTGTGATCGGTGGCCAACGGCCACTCCTCCTTCGGTTCTTGCCGCCGAAAAAAAATCCCGACGCCCGCTTACCTGATGTTAATCGGCTGTGACTGTGGCAGCCAGCTGGTTCTGCTGGAACTCGACTGGAAGACACAAACAACAGGTGTTAGAAGTCAGATAGACAGAGGTTGTTTAACAACAGACATCAGGCACACACGAGAGCCGTCAGACTGGTCAGACAGATGTCCGATAAAGGCACAGACACGGGTTGTCAAGGATCGAACATCCCATACCGATTTTTGAGAGTCAGTGTCAGAGCAATAAGACGTCAGGTGAAGAAACATACACGAGGTGTCACAGCGGCCAGCGATATTAGACAGTCAAGCGACATCCGACATCAAACAAGAACAGACAGGCTTCATCAGACGCCAGCCACAATCTAAGATCATACCCTGCACTCCATGTGGCCTCACAGAAGAGCTCCTGTTTCTGCTCGCCTGTATGGTCGGGTAACGCCGTATCCTCCATTGTACCGTGTTCTGATCCTATTTCTGAGTGGTCGCATGAGGAAGTATATCCATATTACGTCTACGTGTTCGAGCAACGTCATATTAATAATATACCCTGCGTGTCTCTGTAGTTGAATAGTGCCCTGTTCCGAAATAGTGCCCTGTGTCCTGTTCCGGAGGTCCATCCAGCCATTGCGTCTCAGTGATAGAATTGTGCCGTATGCTCAATGCATCCCGTTCCCTCTATACTCTCCCGTCTTCACTATAGTCACCTGGTAGTCGGAGTGTTTGTCGGGTTCCGAGCCACTGTCGGCCGGCTCCGCCTCCTCCTCGATCATCGACGGCGGACGACGCACCGCAGCGTTAGTCGGCTTATGCTACCGAACGGGCACAGCGCGCCGGACACTCGTCAGAACGGCACGCCACACGGCACACAGGGCACACACGGGGAGGGCAGCACGCGGCCAGACGTACCGCAGCACGGCACGGAGAATACAGGGTGCGGAGGGTACTCATGCGCAGCGACAGCGGTACTGGAAAAAATACAGCAATACTGGAAAATGACACCCAAAATTACACCTTATTAGTATGGGTCCCCATTCAGTGAACATCATGGCCTACACTCAGATCCTGAGTGCGCCACAGGTAGCTAACATCGTGCGCGTTGCAACAGGTTTTTTTAGGGCCTCGAACTTTGGGCATTTGGTTCGTCCTTGGTGTTGCAGTTTGACTTATTGGATCCCCGGCTTCAACTTTTCGGCGCCAAGAAGTCAACTAGATTGCCATCAGTAAGTTTGCTCTTATCTTTACATTCCACACCAAAATCCCTCCAAAGTTTTTGATGCTTTGTGCTTTTTTCTAAAAGCTTCGCAAGGTGCCCTATTGTAAAACGAAATAGGTGAAGTGAAAGTAAGCGCTAAATGCAAAATTTCGTGAACTAAAATCTGCTCACGAATACCGTCCGCACCTTTCATATTTAATGAACATATATAGGGGCATTATGACTGATAAGTCAGACCATTGCTGACCGGGTAATTCTGACCGGTGGGTGGGGCACGTGCGTACGTGAAAAAATCGACAGCGCGTGACGAGTGATCAAGCCCGCACAAAGCAGATCAGAGCACTGCATATGCAATATGCATATCTACAACGGGCAGCCAGAATCGAAAGAAACTTCCGTAATCACAAACGGTCAAGCGGGGTCAATGACCCCGTCTGGGTCTCACTGATCCGGGACGTTTTATCAGTTACTCCCAGTACGTGAGTACATGGTTCACATGCGCCGTGCCACACCGCACACAGTCAGCCGCGGGGCGGGGCCCAAAAAACGGACCGGCGCTCCCGTCAAAACGTGTTCACGGCACGGCACGGCACGGTGTGAGGGTAAGGGGTAAAGGGAGGTAACTCACCATGTCACCGCGAGACTGCGGCCGGAAGCCGGGACCCTGAGGAGGGTTCTTCTGGACGCAGCAGTTCACGCCGGGACTGAAGTGGAGCTCCACGTGGAACCTGAAATCAGAGGACAGCCGTTAGGAGAGGATTGTTTGGTCATTATGAAATACGAAGGTCCTACCAGTTCCCGAAAAGCAGTCCTACCAATTCTCGGAGAGCGGGCCTACCTGTTCTCGGAGAGCGGGTCCTTAGTGGGGTCCTCGTAGAGCATGATGACCACCTGTGACATGTAGTTGAGCTCGGACACGGCTGAGCAGTACTCCATGGCCCGCCGCCACTGCTCGTCACGGCCCTCCTGCAGGTCAGAGCAGGGTCAGGGTCAGGTCAGGGACGGGTAAGGTCACGGTCAGGTTAGGTACTCCATGGCCCGCCGCCACTGCTCGTCACGGCCCTCCTGCGGCAGGGTCAGGGTCAGGTCAGGTCACGGTCACGGTCACGGTCAGCACAGTCAGCCCTTTCCAACACTACTTAGCAAAGTCAACCCTAACCAGCCATGGTATGTACACAATTTGACGCTCTACCCACCGCGGTAGTTCGTCATACGTGCTACATTTCGTCTTAATTAGAATCCTCTCAATCCCGTACCCACATCCATCAGAGCCAGCCCCACCACACCCAAACCGCACATCACAATAGTCACCCGTCCTGTGTACTCCATAAAGTTTACACTACCTTGTTGAGACCACATATCTCTTAGACGACGATCGCCTATCACCATCATCCCAGGTATGAAATACACGATGATAACTATATCTAGCCTACGCATCATCTAGACAGTGATCATCCTTCATTAGCCAAAGTTTCAATAAGACCGCGCACACCCATCACTAGCCCAAGCATCAATAAGACGACGATCACCCTCCACTCACGTCTGCCAGCCCTCCGTATCGCAGCATTGTGAGCAGCGAGTGCAGGTGACTCTCACTGGTAAAGTAGAGCCGCGTTCGTACGTGTCGCTGAGGACTGGAGACGCCGCGAGAGTACCTGTCGACGAGAGAGAGAGGGTGAGTGATGTACAGAGGGAGGCTGAGAAGAGGGAGGTGGGCACAGGGATAAAAGATGGACAGAGAAAGAGCGAAATGGAAAGGTAAACAGCTGAAAGGAGATTGAAAGGACAGGGAACAAAAGACGGATACGTTCCATAGACATTGCAAAATACAGAACATTTCGTCTTTAACATGCTAGGACGTCTCCTGTAGTCAGTAATTGAGCAATTAATTAGTCCTTTTTCGGCGACCGCTGTCTGAGCACAAGAATTATTTCATTCGCTACAGATCCCGTCAGTCTCGTCCTTCCCCCTCCTCAGTCACCACCACCCTCGCCGCCACCGGCCACCACTCACATGGGGTTGAGTCGGTTGACGTTCTCCTCTGCGCCCTCGTCGATGTTACGCCTCAGGTCGGCCTGGATCTTTTTCAGCAGCGGCGTGCAGATGCCGTGACCGATGGAGAGCTTCTCCTGACGAGTCAGACCGTACTCCTGACGGGAGAGGAAGGAACGCGGGTCAGCGACGTACAATGAACAGCGCACAGCCAGCGTATTGATGCATGACCAGTGAATGATCAACGAGATCACGTTACCTTCTACGCTCGTGCACTTAACGGTTTTCGTAATGTGTTAATAACGAATGATCGGCCGGTGGCCTTATTCGCACATCTCAGATAACAATGGCAGTGGTACTCACTCAAACTTGCGCCAGGGATAGATGGAGGTCATGCGGATACTCAAGCAGCAGCGCTAGTGACCAAGCTCGGATGATTTGCGGTCCTATAAAATTCCATTTAATGCAAGCTCCATAAGTCGCCGGACCATAAAATCTCATGTTAGGATAAGTCCGACTGACCTACGAACTATTAACTCCCCCCACAATATCCCACAATCCCCGACTGACCTGTGGAACTATGACGTCGGCCACCGTTTTGGCAACACGGTACATCTCCTCAGCATCGTCGAACTGAAGCACCTTCTGGTTGTGCTGCAGGTCGTACTTGATGTTGTCATAAATGTCAGGAATCTTGCTGATGTCAAACTTGCCGTTGGCCGTCTTGAAGTCCTTCTCGAGTTTGACCCAGCGGCGCAGCATCAGCTCCCAGCTCTCCCCGTGGTAGAGGATGAGCTCTGAGGACGGACACGTGACGCGTGACGTCAGAAACACGTGACCAGGGATATGGATAGTTGTTGGCAAGGTAGCGGGACAGACTGTCTGACACTGAGATCAAAGTGCAAAACTTTCTGCTTCATAAGTTTGGCGAAACAAACCAAGAGGTGCTCCCCTACCATATTGGAGAAATTCTAAATAGCATTTTAAAGAACCGCAGTGTTTCCCAGCTGTAAAGTATCATCAATCCAATGGTGAAATGGTTTGCCGTTGCAAAGTCAATAAAGCGGGAAATCCCAGACGGTCACACAATAACTAAATAAAGAAACAATCCTTTGAAGAGAAACGTCTCAGCTTGATCAGTCATCGGTACATGTCAATGACGCCACTCAAACAGCTGAGCCGAGAAACTAAGCCCATAAGCGCCCACTTTTAATGGAGCACACAGATTGGTATTAGCAGCCACAGCTGGAGAGCTAAGCTCCGATTCTTGCATCAGCCATCGTGCAGGCATGACGCTCCCCCTCTTTTCCTCAACCCCAACCACTGACCAACACCATACCCCTTGTCGACTAAGAGCCGACACCACTCACGGGACAGCCCATCGACCCACCGAAACGGCACATAACACGACGGGGCTATCCGCGCCGAGCCCAGGGTTCTAGCGGCGGGGTAGCCCAGCTGTTAGACGAGTGAAGTGAAGGGAGTCTCGTTGACCTACTCCACTGATATCAACTGGGCACGGTACTCCAGGCTCTTGTAACTCGTTCACCCTCATCGCTCTGGTACCTTGGCCGTCATGTACTTTGTCGCGGTACCGCAGCGGCGTTATTTCATAGCCGATACCTCTACATCACTGCCACTAGTCTCATACCCAGCCGCAGCACTCTACCACAACCTTTATCGACTGAGTACGCCGTAAAACCCCATAGAAATCACAGCTAAGCCTCCGTCGCCGCGGCGCCACCGGATTAGGGCCGCAGCAGCTCTCGCCCGGCGTAATTCAACATAAGGGTCGATTTTGGCTGTGACACTGAGTGGACGGCCAAACGGCGGCAGCGCGGCCACTTGGTGAATTGCCCCGGTGCTAGGGGTTCGGGTGGGTGCCGTCGCCCGTTGAGACACATGAGTGAGAGAGTAGGGGGCGGACGGGGGGGCACGGCTCTCACCTTTGGACTCCTCCATTTTCGGTGTGATGACCGCCAACAGTTTCTGTACGGACGGGAAGGGGCGCGGCTCTCACCTTTGGACTCCTCCATTTTCGGTGTGATGACCGCCAACAGTTTCTGTACGGACGGGAAGGGGCGCGGCTCTCACCTTTGGACTCCTCCATTTTCGGTGTGATGACCGCCAACAGTTTCTGTACGGACGGGAAGGGGCGCAGCTCTCACCTTTGGACTCCTCCATTTTCGGTGTGATGACCGCCAACAGTTTCTGTACGGACGGGAAGGGGCGCAGCTCTCACCTTTGGACTCCTCCATTTTCGGTGTGATGACCGCCAACAGTTCCTGTACGGACGGGAAGGGGCGCAGCTCTCACCTTTGGACTCCTCCATTTTCGGTGTGATGACCGCCAACAGTTCCTGTACGGACGGGAAGGGGCGCAGCTCTCACCTTTGGACTCCTCCATTTTCGGTGTGATGACCGCCAACAGTTTCTGTACGGACGGGAAGGAGCGCAGCTCTCACCTTTGCACTCCTCCATTTTCGGTATGATGACCGCCAACAGTTTCTGTACGGACGGGAAGGGGCGCGGCTCTCACCTTTGGACTGCTCCATTTTCGGTGTGATGACCGCCAACAGTTTCTGTACGGACGGGAAGGGGCGCAGCTCTCACCTTTGGACTCCTCCATTTTCGGTGTGATGACCGCCAACAGTTTCTGTACGGACGGGAAGGGGCGCGGCTCTCACCTTTGGACTCCTCCATTTTCGGAGTGATGACCGCCAGCAGTTTCTGTACGGACGGGAAGGGGCGCGGCTCTCACCTTTGGACTCCTCCATTTTCGGTGTGATGACCGCCAGCAGTTTCTGCAGGTGACTGTAGACCAGCTCACATGTCTCCACTGGGTTCTCTGCAAAAGAACGTGGAAAAAGGGGAGATTATATTGGCAAGGGAACGGAATATGGGGAGAGAGAAAGACGTAGCTTTACGAGACAGGAACGGGAAGAGAAAGAGCTCACAGGCGCAGGAAACATGAGTGAGGACCGAGAAAATGCTTGCTTGTGACAGAGTGAACAAATGTGCTTATAACATTAAGGATTCATCAGGAAAGTTTTCAAACTACACGTCTAGAATTTAGCCTTCGCCCTGGTGGAGAGAAGGGCGTTTTAACATTCGATTCCCCCGCCATGTTCAAATATTCCAGGTAACCCAGCAGCACGCGTCTAAATCGAGAAGTGAACTCAGCGACTCACTGAGCCTGCTGAGCGCCTTGGCCACGCTGATGGAGCCGGTCGGGTTCAGCTGATGGATGTCGTCCTCGGTGAAGTCGCGGTCCTGCTGGAACAGGTCGTGGATCCGGCTCTTCACCCTGTCGATAGATAGAGCACAGTGGTGTCAGGGAAACACGGGATAGCAGTCCGGTCGAGCACACTGGTGCTTCTCCACACCAAGGCTCGAAGAACAAATACTGCGTCCACACACATGAAGATCAGTGAGGAGGAGCCTCAGTGACCGCCTAGACACACAGCAATCGTCTAATTCTTTGGTAAGACTCGGGCGCTGACTCACATGTTGAGTAGGTTTCTGGAGTCAGAGTCGTTGTCCAGAAGTCCGTTGGTGTCTGCTGACTTCACCATTTGTACCAGGATCGGAGTGAGCTCTCCCTCGAGCGCCAGCAGACCTGAAAAAAGGCAAATGAAAACACAACTCAACTAAGATCATTACCTACAAAGGAAAGCTGGTCTTCGGTAATTAGTCATTACACATTGCACAGCCTACAGGACAGCCGGCTGGTCCCGTGATCACCATACACAAAACACAACTGGTACAAGTTTAGCATAAACAAAATATCGCTGGATAGGGCAGCTGGTGTCCAATCAACTATAAACAAAGAACAGCTCATTTTCAAATCAGCGTTTACATGTTAATATAGCCCTAAGATAACCATCAGCAAAGTACAGCCGGTCGAGGCCCTCGTCCCTCGTGCGTCAGTAACCGAGAAAGTATCCAGCAACCTTCGGTCCAGCATCCATCCCGCTCACAGCAGTTTGGTCCCCAGGGATCCAGTTAAAACAGCGTCAATTCATGTGCCCCAGGGGCTTCCCCAGAGTTTGGGAAACTCTGACAGCCACCAGTGAACTATCCTGGACTGAGACGCAGCTGTAGCCAGCCCGCGGGTCTAACCACCCACCTTTGACGAAAGCAGTAGCCGGTGAGTGATGGGTCCAATCACCCACCCTTGGCGAAAGCGACGCGCGGGCAGCGGGGGTCTAACCACCCACCTTTCGCTAACGAGGCGACCGGGTAACGCAAGTCCAACTACCCACCTTTTGCGAACGCAGCGGCGGTCATCTGCACACGACCCTCGTCGGACGCGTAGATCTTGAGGTCGTGCCGGTAGGTGGAGTGGAGCCTCAGCAGGCCGAGCCCCTGGGTACCGGCGTACTCCCCTGCGGCGCGGTCGACGAGGCAGGTCAGAGCGGGAGGGGATGGGTAGAGGTCACCTGACGGGGCGGCGTGGGACCCAGATACAGACAGGGAGGACTGAAGTTGACAGCAGCGGAGACGGGCCACAGCAGAAAGTTCGACAGTCTTGGCTATGTAAATCACACAGACGCACACGGACAGGGATATATTTAAACAGCGGAGCTCAGTCAGCCGTCAGTTACGAGAAGTTAGCCAAAAGGAGGAGACCCACGATACTGAATAACAATTCACAGCACACAGTGACCACAGTCAACCCGAGACGACTGGACACAGCACCGACAACATATTTAACAGACATTCGTCACAGTACACGCACAGGCACCGATTCACCCCAACAAAATCCATACGCTCTTGTCTTTATCCTTGTGAAAGAAAACTAATTGACGACAGATTAAAGGTGATTCACGTTAAAAGCAAGGAAGATAAGCAATTAGGAAGTCAATCAATAAAATAAAATGTGATAAAACTTTTTCTTTGAATGGTTAGACGAGAAACAAAAAATGATTATGTCATGGTTACCAAAGGAAAGCATAATTAATGTAAAACATTCAACAAATAAAAACAGCACACACATTATAGAGAAAAGCTACCCTTCCTGGCATCTAAAGGCTGGCGACACGGCGGGAGTCTTACATCCTTGGAATTGTCTTTTTTTATAATAGCCACAGCTTTGGCCGTCGGATCTCTTTATGCACTTCAACCATGCACAATAAATCAATTCCCTTATTTCGCTTTTTTTTTGTTATCGTCTCGTCACCGATGCAGCTGGGCTATTTTTTGCCATTAGAAACATAAAACACCAGCCGGACACCCTACGAATGAAATAAAACACGAAAAAAGAAAACTCCCAACACTGAAAAACTCCCACCGTGTAGCCAGCACACAACCCGTCGACTATATCCGCATGCGCCCAAATCCCAACCATATTTGTTCCCCATCGTCACCGTTTCATGCTTCGGCACTGGCCAGTAGTTTCGGGCAGCGAGCGTACGCGCCGAGGCGGGGCGGGGCGGACTGAAGGCGGGGCGGGGCGGACAGATCGACAGGAAGGCAGGACGGGTGTGCAGCCACTGAGACGGTCGAGCGTTCATGCGGTTAGTACGGCCTGGGAAAGGATGGGAGCGGTGGGCGGGTCGTTGGAATGGTAGGACCCCGAGAGTTGGGGGATTGGCCCCACCCTAAAGCTAAGCCCTGGACGGACCCACCCTGAAAACCTGGTCAATCTACAACTCCCCTGGCCCCGGGTCCCCGCTGCTACCCGAGTACACTACTGGATGCCCAGAATAGCCTGGTGTTATCAGTGTATTGGCCCCTCCCCCCACTCCACCCTACCACGCCAGGAACAGATGGAATTGATTACTAAGGTATCCGAGGTTACCCCTGCCCCCACTGTCACAAAAATACATAAATAAGAGGTATGTTAAGATGAGTTAGGGTGAACGATGAGGTGTTAATTGATCAACACATAACCAGTGAAATATCTCAGCAGTCTCGTTTGCTGGTAAAATGGAAATCGGACACAAAAAGAATCATCAGAACGCAGAGCGCAGGCACAACCAAACCAGGATGATGACTGGTGTTAGTAGGATAGAACTCAAGCAGAAGCAATTAACAAAAGATACCGAGACCAGCACAAACCAAAAGCGACAGAGAACAGAAGAAACAGAGGTGGTCGCTGGCGGCTACAGAGTGGCAGACAAATGAGAGAGAGAGCGCCGGCCGGAACAGCCCACTAACAGTGATATGCGGGGAAGCCCTCCGACATTCCTGATCCCCACGGCTGCATTATACCTGCAGAGAAAGGGATACAGACCAACGGTCAGCCGGGCCGCGCCTCCACCCCTCTCTCCCCCTCCTCGCTCTGCTGAGCGCGTCAGGGGTACCCGCCCGCAAACAAACATACAAACACAGAGCGCGCTGTGAGCGGGATGGAGACGACCATGGCCAGAGTGTGCCGCGCGCGCCTCACAGCCGGGCTGGGAGAGCGGTAATCGGCGGTTAGAAGAGCGCAACTCTACAAGTTCAGAGCATTCTTCTATACTACATGTAGCGCGCAATTACTAGAGTTTAGTGGGCGCCATTCCAAAAGTTTCGGTTGCGTGAAGCTGTGGCTCAAAGCGTGCAATTTCAAGAATTTTAAGCGCATGAACCTACTGTTTCAAGGGCGCTATTCCCTGGATACTGAGGACAACATTCACGTATTTTGAAGCGCAATAAGCTGTCGTTTGGAGCACGCTATTCCAGAGAAACGGAGCGCGCTACTCGTGTTATGAAGCGCACCACTCCCGGATTTGGAACTCGTTACTCTTCATTTTTGAGCCCACTAACTATTCCCGTCTTACTGGTATTTCATTTAGTGCGCTATTCCCGGGATGCAAAGCACACGACACAATGCTGGCCTAGGTCAGGGAGATAAAAATTACAGGGAACCAGACACAGCAATCTGAAAACAGGACAACGACCTATATGAAGGAAAAATGCGTCCAACTGATGCAAGTATACAGGAAAAAAATCAGTAGGCGGCAAACCAACGCAACACAACCAGTGAGCACGGCTGCAGGAGGCGGGACATGACGGGTGCGGCGGCAGGAGAGGACGGGACAGCCGCTCGCCGCCGTAATACTCCCATCCCGCGGGCCTACCGGGCGTCCCAGCCGTGTCCCACTGGGAGCCAATACGGGTGGGACAGATCTAACCCCGCCCCCCGAGCGGGCCGATCAGCAGCCGACACTTACCTTGGCCTCCCGGGTACATACAACGGAAAATTTTGCCGAGCTCCTCGGCCTGAACGCGACCGGCTGGTGTCAGTTCACCGCCCCACTTGAGCACCAGCACCAGAGACGGGTCGTCCGACGTCTCTGCCGGGAACAGTGGAGACCGTCAGAGAGGGACACCGACAGGACAGGACACAGCACCAGCACCAGAGACGGATCGTCCGACGTCTCTGTCGGGGATAGAGGCGGCTGTCAGAGAGAGAATGAAACGGAGCAGGGGGGGGAGAGACACAGCACCAGAGACGGGTCGTCCGACGTCTCTGTAGGGACAGTGGAGATCGTCAGAACGGGACACGGACACGACAGGACAGGACAGGACAGGACAGGATACAGCACCAGAGACAATCCATTCTAGGTCTCTGCCGGGGACAGTGAGACCGCCAGGAGCCGGTTAGGAGAGAGGCGCCTACACTGTCAGATAGGAGGGCCGATACACACACCTACAGTCAGGGCATCACAAAGGACATCACGTAAGGAAGACCAACATTTTTCACGGAGTACCCTGTCTCTCCCACTCCCCACACATGCACCATACGCACACTGCCTTGCAGCAGCCCTGCCTCGGACTGACCGGTTTCGCTGCTGCGCTTCCACCCCTTGGGCTGGTACTTGAGCTGGATCTTCCTGTTGATGCCGGAAAAGTGGCCGTACCTGATGACAAACGAGCGTCCTCGTCAGCACTGCCGGATAGTCCATCAGTCAAAGGAAGGATGCAGCGAGATGGGACCGTCACCTAAGGAGGCATACGGAGCGCGACGGGGGCGGAATCCGACAGAGCGGAGGTCAGGTCATGGATCAGGAGTGGTGCCGCCAGGGGGTGATACACGCAGTGACAGGTCAACCAGTGACCAAACACCAATCCACATCTCATCCATCCCATGGCACATGTGTAATCTGCAGAGCTGCAGGCGACCAGCCGTAAACAAAGCCCAGCTCTCAGAGCAAGCAGAAGTGTGAAAATGACACTTGGAGGTGCGATATGGAACATACATAATGAACTTCATTCAACTCAGCCAAGGTACGGGCATCTGCTTTCATACACACCACGTCATGTAGGAGTACCAACAACCACGTCACACGCACACACGTTGGGCCATACTACGGAAACACAGCACGCGACACTAACACGCACGTCAACACGGTCATGCGACGTAGGACGACTGGCAGACGAGCGAGAGTGCTGTTGGTACCAGAGCGGTACGCCATTACGGCCGGACCGAACGGGCTACACCGTCCCGAGAAATCGGTACTGCGAGGCGAGGGTGTCCGACTATAGCGGTCGGTCGGTTTCGTAAGGGCGCACGCCGCCCGGTCGTACGAGCCTTACCAGAAGGGTATGTCACCTCAGCCATTCGTGCAGATCGCTGACCGAGAGTCACAGATCAGTCACAAATCACGGCAAACCACGGCAAACCACGGCACAACACAACACAACACACCACACAACACAGTCCACACGACTGGCGGTACCGCAAACCAAACGCCATCCCAAAACAAGGGAGAGCAATAGAAGTAAAGAAGTGGCATGCACCACCGACACCAAAACCCACACCATGGACCAGCTGGGGTCAGCCCAACACCAAACCGAGCTGGGCTTCGCATGGGGGGGGGGAGAGGGGGAGGACGCCTAGGGCTAACACGGGAGGGAAAGGGGAGCGCATGCCAGCTCCCTAATCAACGCAAACCGGACGGTCGGGGCGGGCGGGCGGGTCGTCGGAGTATTGACAGCTATACAGAGGCAATGTGACTTACACCACGGCTGGCGGCTGGTCAGAGAGGAGCACGCTGCAACGGAGAAACAGAGAGAGGACCGTCACTGGTAGCTCAGGGCAGGATAGCGAGAAACAGAGAGAGGACCGTCACGGGTAGCTCAGGGCAGGATATAGAGAGAGGGTAGAGATACAGAGAGGGGACCGTCACTGGTAGCTCAGGGCAGGATAGAGAGAGAGAGAGAGAGAGAGAGAGAGAGAGAGAGAGAGAGAGAGAGAGAGAGAGAGAGAGGGCAGAGAGGCAGAGAGGGGACCGTCACTGGTAGCTCAGGGGAGGATAGAGAGAAACAGAGAGGAACGTCACTGGTAGCTCAGGGCAGGATAGAGAGAAACAGAGAGGAATGTCACTGGTAGCTCAGGGCAAGATAGAGAGAGAGAGGGCAGAGAGGCAGAGAGGGGACCGTCACTGGTAGCTCAGGAGAGGATAGAGAGAAACAGAGAGGAGCGTCACTGGTAGCTCAGGGCAGGATAGAGAGAAACAGAGAGGAATGTCACTGGTAGCTCAGGACAGGATAGAGAGAGAGAGGGCAGAGAGGCAGAGAGGGGACCGTCACTGGTAGCTCAGGGGAGGATAGAGAGAAACAGAGAGGAACGTCACTGGTAGCTCAGGGCAGGATAGAGAGAAACAGAGAGGAATGTCACTGGTAGCTCAGGGCAGGATAGAGAGAGAGAGGGCAGAGAGGCAGAGAGGGGACCGTCACTGGTAGCTCAGGGGAGCATAGAGAGAAACTGAGAGGAACGTCACTGGTAGCTCAGGGCAGGATAGAGAGAAACAGAGAGGAATGTCACTGGTAGCTCAGGGCAGGATAGAAAGAGAGAGAGGGCAGAGAGGCAGAGAGGGGACCGTCACTGGTAGCTCAGGGCAGGATAGAGAGAAACAGAGAGGAATGTCACTGGTAGCTCACGGCAGGATAGAGAGAGAGGGCAGAGAGGCAGAGAGGGGACCGTCACTGGCCGGCCAGGAAAGGGTGGAGAGAGGTATTCATGGTAAGGTCTTGAAGGGTAGAAGAAGGAGGTGGAATGAGCACTGGGTAGACAGAAGAGGAAGGTGAGAATGTTAAGGCAGGAAATTAAAGAAAAAAGAAAACGGGGAAAAATAAGAAAGAGAGGAAAACAGAGGAAAACAAGAAAACAAGAGAAAGCGGAAACAGAGGAAGGAAAGACAAAGAAGAACAAGAAGAACGAGTAGAACCAGCGGAAAGAGAACAAGAAGAGCCTAAAGAACAATAACGAAATCGAACAGTCGTTGACTAGAAATGAATGTCACTGGTAGCTCACGGCAGGATAGAGAGAGAGGGCAGAGAGGCAGAGAGGGGACCGTCACTGGCCGGCCAGGAAAGGGTGGAGAGAGGTATTCATGGTAAGGTCTTGAAGGGTAGAAGAAGGAGGTGGAATGAGCACTGGGTAGACAGAAGAGGAAGGTGAGAATGTTAAGGCAGGAAATTAAAGAAAAAAGAAAACGGGGAAAAATAAGAAAGAGAGGAAAACAGAGGAAAACAAGAAAACAAGAGAAAGCGGAAACAGAGGAAGGAAAGACAAAGAAGAACAAGAAGAACGAGTAGAACCAGCGGAAAGAGAACAAGAAGAGCCTAAAGAACAATAACGAAATCGAACAGTCGTTGACTAGAAATGAATGAAGAAAAACGAATGCATTGAACATAAGATTGCATCTCAAACAGCCATGGAGATGTGCTAAGCAGCCATAGAATAATTTGGCTGGCCAGTGACCAATGATCGGAGAGACGACCGGAAGGCTCAGATCGGGATGTAGCGGAGAAGAAATAGAAACCAAGAAGATGAAGAGCAAACGAGAAAGAGGCCAGCGACAGAAGGCGAAACAGGATATCAAAGAGAAAAGAACGGTCTCTGGCGGAAGGGGCGACGGAACCAAAGGGAATGGACGCCATTCCACAGAAGGGCAGAGTAAAGAGCTTCCCGGCGACCGGGAGGTGAAGCAGCGTCGCCGCAGACTGGTTATAGATGGAGGAGCTAACGTTCTGGATAGCGCAGAATCTGAATTGCACGGGAGGAGGGCGGCTACAACAGGAGAGGAATGCCGATGATGGACCAGCGCGGCGTAGGGGGCAGCAAGGGGCCCAGTGAGGGGCAGGGAGCGATAGAGGGACCCCGGCGGAGGCACATACCAGGCGATAGGGTCGCCCCCTCCCCACCCGTCCACTGCTCGGGACCCTGCCCCGCTCGCCCACCGCCCGCCCCGTCCGTCCGTCCGTGCGTAGCCCGCTGTACTGACCGATCTACTCGGGGTACACGGAGAGCGCGTCCAGAGCCAGGGTACAAACACACGCGCACACGCACACACACAAACACACCTGACACCACCGGCCGACACTAGTACACTCACATCTCGAGTACGTTGCGGAGCTGCTCGAGCTTGGCTCGCTTTTTGGCCACCTCCGGGTGATCGGGTGACACCTCCAGCAGCTCGCGCGCCACGTCCAGGATCTCCTGCAGCTGTTTGGGCTTCTTCAGCTTGATGTGGCCCTGCTGACCGCCGTCGTACTTGTGGAAGATGGCGAAAAACCTGGACGTACGAGATAGCAAGAGATGTCAGTCTCCCAGGCAAATGTATTATTGCGAATTGAAAGTAAGCCGCAGTTAGATTACAATAAAAGCAGATTTAGCCGTAAATTACCTATGCGAAATGCATACCGTTAGGTCATATCTATGGGTTGATCGATAATAGTACGATAACTTATTCCAGCAAACGTTTATGCATTGGGATGTCATCCTACCGTCTCACAAAAAAGCACTCATAAGAACACCATATACCACACCTCCAAAACATTCATCGCCCTCTTCACGTACTTTTCATGTCTGATCTCCATTTTCATTTTCTGTTTGGGCGTGCGGTCTCCGTGTCGTATGACGGCTATGGCGCAGCGCAGCTCCATCATCTTGCCGAAGGTGGTGGGCACGATCGGAGGATCGTCCAGCTGGAACGGCACCGACCACGGGATGTGCAGCGTCGGCGCCAGCTCCCGCAGCACCATGTTGCCCAGGATCTTCGCTGAGTCGTCGTAGTACTTGTTGGAGTTTTTGACAAAGCTGAAGCCGTTGACGTCACAGACGTACGATCGCCCGTTGGCTCTGTCGGTTATAAAAAGAGGGACGGGAGGGAGGGTGAGACGGGGGTGCGATATAGCCTCGCTGCTGTTGTTGCGACCGGTCACATCAAACCATCATCATCACCACGGCTGTTCCACGCTAGCTGGGGGAGTGAACGGGCTGACGTCAGAAAATCCCGACAGAACGGATGGCTAGTAGAATCAGAGGGACAGATACGACCATGGACCTCTGATGGTCCGATCCATAGATCCAAGCTGAAACACAGCAATATCAGTGGGACAGAAACCAGATACAGTTACTAAAGCCGCACGGCCGCAACACATCAACATTTCCAATTTCCATCTAACCTGTCATTCATTAGCGGCGGCAGTCCTCAAAGGGACTACCAAATCGCGTACAAAGGAAAATCAAACACGCTTTTAACGTCATTGATTGATGTCACAAATGAGCTGCCCCTGAGTATTGAGTCAATCACCGTCTATCTCAGCCTGGTAGCACTGCGCGCGGCGCTCTACACCCTCAGTACTCAGCAGTTTAGCACTCACCTCAACAGGTCGAACCCGCACACGGTCTGTTTGAATGCCTGGCACACCTTGCGGGCGATCAGCTTCTCGTTGTTGGTCAGGATGACGGGATAGCGCACCTCCTGTAGGGGTCAGGGCAGGTCACGGTTAGCGAGAGGTCAAGGTCAACGGCGCACATTCCAGCTGAATGTTGGGCACGGGTCGGAGCGGGTCCCGAGGGAGTCAAAGGCCGGTCGATGTGGCTCTGGTTCAGATAGTGCGCCCGGTCAGAGTTACATACAGTAAGAACTAGACTGACTGAGGTGCAGAGTCGCTAAGCATAATGACATTGGCAGTAACACAATGGCTACATTGGCAACGGAAGCACAGCGACCAATCTGCACAGGGTAAAACGCAGACCAGCACCCACGAACCTTTCCATCCTGGTCCCTCTCGACCTTTCCGTCTAGCGCCGGCGACTTCCTGGCCTCGGCGTGCGCGTACTCGGGTCCGACTGTGTACACCTGAGGACGGAGAGGGCAGGGTGTCAACACAGGTGGAAATCAACGTGCGCATACTCGGGTCCGACCGTGTACACCTGAGGACGGAAAGAGATGAGAGTGTCAACAGGGGTGGAAATGAACGAAGATGAGCGCACACAGTGCATAGGGTACAACGCCTGGGGAAGGAGAAGGGGAGGACTGTTGGTAGAGACTGTACTAACATGGAGATGAACGCCTTCACCAATAATGGGGCGTCTAATAATGGGGGTCCTCTCCCAGACGCATGTTGTCAATGTCCTAAATGTCTCCGTTGGCAGCGTTCTGTCTCGCTCCTATCGTTGGCAGAAGTGTTTCAGAATTATATAGGCAATAGTTATCAGTGCCTCGTTGTTCACGTTGGCAGTAAAACATCTGTCCACCGTTTGAAGTAATGTCTCAATATCCCCTGCCAGCGCTGTCTCAACAGCAGGTCGGCAACAGCGTCTTTATCCGTTATCACCACCCGGCGCCACCACACTCATTTACCACAAAAAGATACCCACATTAGGACCGGCGGGAGACCTCCCCGCAGTCAGATCCCCGCCGTCCATAATGCAGAGATGGCACTGACGACCTCCCAAATGGCACATCTGACGGATTCATGGAACACCTTCGGGGCCTAATATCACGGAGCATGGCAGCCTGCCTTAGCTTTCCCGCACCGTCGCCCATCACGGCTATTTATATCTCGGGGAATGTGACATTTGCCCGACCCTTATCCGCGCGGAATTGTCCATCCCGACTGACCTCCTGCGACCCCCAGTGGGTCATCCGTCATCAGATTGGACGGTAATTACGGGCGGAGTGGGCTGTCTCAGTTCCGGACACGGGGCAGGTCGGTGAAGAGCGATAACTGATGGCAGTGGGCCCTTGGTGACAGACTGGCCCGTTTCCACACCGAGGAGGATTCTCACGTGGCATCACACGTGACAAAAAGGGGTGGCATTGGCTGGAGAAGACACAAAACAGAGAGCGGGGCGTATCCGGCCGGCTGGACTGGTTGAGTTGGGTGTGGCCCGAAGCGGGTCGGGGAAACGCGTCAACTGGAAATTATAAACTGGACACAATGTGTACTGAAAATTAGAGCTGCAAATAGCCTTTCGAGGTGGAGAGTTGGACCCCAGTTACACTGAATGCTAGCGAAATGAATAACATTCTAATTGAAAATCGGGCCACAACCGAGCGAGAGACGAAGACATGAGCGGACACTCGACAAACTGACCTTCAAGTAAGACACGCGTGAGCGTCAAAAGGAATCCTTGTAATCGTTTGGTGAAGCACCGCAACCGTTGCATAATTGGCTAACCATACAAGGTAGCAAAAAAACAAGGCTCTCAGCCGAAAAAAAAATACATTCTTTGTTCTTTGTTCTTCGCTGCACGCTTCCAACTTCATAAGCGCCATAAAATACGTGGATCCGCATTCACGACATACGCAACACAGAAAATGTTATTTTGCCCATAAGCGTATAAGCACGATGCCTTAGTCAGCGGCTGTGCCAAACATGTTTGTGTCTCGACTGTCTTCATTTTCACGGTTCGAAAATAACACATAACTGTGTCAGCGCCGACAAACCACTTCGATCCCAGGAGCGACGGTGCTCCTTTTTAAGCGGCTATAACTCATCCTGCGCCCAAACGAGGGCCCTCAGTCGTTGTGACGTCAGCAGCAGCCGAAAAATAGCCGGATGCTGGCGGGTCCCCACGCCAGTAAGACGGGTCGTCGTGGAAAACCACCGTGTCTCCACGAGTCACTGGTGTAGGTCGAGTGGGACGTCACTGGGTCTCACGCCATCAGTGTGGATCGTCTTACTGGCAGCTAGAGTGTGTGTCTGACGATCTGACGAACCACTGGATCACTGTACGACACCGATTGTCACATGTTCATGTTTGGAACATAAGTTTAGGGATTCACCTGAACCGCTAAATGCAAATCGCCTACCTCCAACGACGCACTGAAGTTAATCCAAACGGTACAAACAACTTCTTCCTATGCACACGATCAACATTGTAAAGCCGATTGAGCTGATTGAGTTGTAAATTTTCCCCGGGTCTCCGTCATAAGCAATCACAGGAGGCCGGGTTCGCCCGACTCCGATCGCCACCGATACACCGCGTTTCGTCAGCCCGCCGGCGGCAGTCCCGGACCGGTCTGTTGGCGGCGACAGTTCACAGACCACCGACAGTGTCTCTGGTCCGACCAGACCGGGCCATTCTCAGAATGGCCCGGACCGGACCGGCGAGAGTGGTCGGCGCAGGGGAGTCCCCGCAGACCGGCCCTCCGGCCCCTCTCCGAATCAGTCATCCAAGTCCAAATTGTCCTTCCCTTTGTCTTCCCAGGTCTAATTGTCCAGGTGCTAATCGTCGACCTCCAGATCAGAGCTGAGACCGCCGCGCAGAACAAAAAGATTCATCGCGTCAGCGGAAAAACCGTCAGGATGCCAGTGCCATAGCCCTTTAAATTTAAGCTCTTTAAAATAAATGTCAAATCCGGCATGGAAAGCAATGTTTGTGGGGCACGGGGCTGAGCGATAACTCAAGTGGGAGCTCCACATCTCTATCCATCTCCGGTCAGTTTTACGACATTCTCAGTTACTTGATTGACACTCTTCCCACGTCCTGCACTTCCTGCGTCTTGTGCATTAACTTTTTTTAGTCGTACTAGAAAATTCAAGGACTTTGCTTTTTCTAGCGCCGCATAAAAGTTGCTGGTTTATTTCCACTGCGTGTCGTCCAGCTGGATTAAAAATGACCAGTTTAACAACTTAATAAACATAAAGCTACTAGCTATTCTAAAAAGCAGAATCAAAGGCAATGACTCAGCATTTCACACCATGCGTGTAACCAGAAGTACCAAGAGGGAAAAAACTGAACGTATCGATAGCCGTCGGACGAAACAGGGTCATTTTCGGGTGTTTTTGGGCTGATCGATATCGGGGAGCAGCACGCGAGACGGCAGGCCGCGCTGATCGACGGCTGATTGGCGGTTCATTAGCGGCTAATCAGGCATAATGTCGCGACACCCGAGTAGAGGTCCGTGTCGCCGGGCCGCCGGCTCCTGTCATGACCCTCATTAGTGACACGTTACGAGAAAAAGGCGTACAATGATGGGGCGAAAAGAGCCAGGGTTACATAAGACATAGAAGCAGACACGAAGCACATTCACAACCGGCTTGGATAGCACAGTGATAGAGCATCAAAAGGTGGATTAAAATGGAGAACAGAAAGAGTAAAAAGCCGCAAAAGAGGACACTGATAGGTAGGTACTTTCACACTTACTGCCCCAGTTAATAGGCATCTAGACAAGACGTCCGTACTCTCTAAGCCAGCACGTTTACCGTATACCTCAGAACGAAAGCTTAGCGGCTGGACCATTCAACGGTACGAGTAAGTGAAATAAGTGAGCTAAGCTGTCTTTAGAAAAGGGATTTCCCTCGTCTGTTTAGCAGTGCTGTTACATATCAAAGCATCAATCATTACACATGATTCGCTCCAGACCTCACCTTTGAACTTCACTTGGATCATTAATTTTTCAGTTATAAGAACCTTCAGTTACCAAGGCTTGGCGATCACAGCTAGAATCCCATTTTGTTCGGTACGTCTTCCATCAACCGAGCTCTGAGATCTGTCCGGGGCCGCTCACCGGCAGCGATCTACTGAGCAGCAGCCGGAACACATCTGTTCGCACCCCGCCGCCGCTCAAACAAACAGCCAACCACCGAGTCCATAGCCGGAAACGGTGCAGCGAGCTGCTTAGTCAAACCAGAAACGGTTGATCACCACATTGCCAGCGTCGTTTCGTTTCTATCCAGGAATTCGTTTATTCGTTTCTATCCAGGAATCCGTTTATTCGTTTCTATCCAGGAAAGCACAGACGGGCGATACATCCGTGCAATGACCAGCCGACCCAGAGGATAGCAGCACGCCTATCCTTCAGAGCCGCTTTCCCTGGGGAACGGCGCAGAAGAAGCCGCCCTCCCAGGGGAGAGCGCGGCAGAGAGCTGGCCGCGCGGCGCTGGCGGACGATCAGCCACCGGTGGCAGCTGGGTGCAATCAGCCGCATGTGCCGCCGCCCAGACGGATGGCCGTCCGATGGCCGTCCGATCCCCTGCAGCCGGCACAGTCATAAGGAACAGAACGGATGGGTGGGCTGGTGGTGACGACCGCCGGCCGCAGCGGCTGATATGACACCGCAGCGCCAAAATCTCAGCTGTGTGGGTATAACGACAGCACATCACGGAACTGGCCGTGAGAGGCTGTCTGGACTCCACGGAGGTCAGATGCCTCTAGGGATATCAATAACCTTTGCCTGGTGAGTCTGAAAGTACCGACTGAACCCGGCACCGTATCCCGGACATAAAGTTTGTCAATCTCCCGCTTGACTGACATAAAAGTGCCCGCCTACGCACCCGATGTTACCGAACTTATCCAATGATTATGCCGGTATGTATTACATAATTTCTAAGGTCGGAAAGGCATGACTTCCCGAAGCGTTGGAAACCCACGCGGCCACAGAAGTTGGTAGCTATGCACCATTTCTCTGTCACGATGTAACGACTCCTTTAAGTGGCCCAGGTCACTTATGAAGCAGAGACGAGTCCTCAGACTAGCTTAAGTCATAACCGTATGCGGAGACGGGTCCTTAGACTGGCCCAAGTCACAAGAGTAGGGAGTGATAGCACTATGTCACGTCGATCACTGTACAGTTAGGCGGGTCAGTACTGAGTCCGTGCTACACAATTGTCCTTGTGTTCTGCACAAACCAAACGTTACGATGTTGCAGCTTAAATGTAGAATGTTGCAAATAATTTAATACATACTAGCGAAAGTGGTGCATACATTGTTTAGCTCTTTGTTCAATTAATCATTTCCATTGCAATGTCGTGGGAAGCTTCGATAAATTTAACCCGCGCGGGGCTGGGGGGGGGGGGGTAAATTTTACCCCCCCTCGCGAATTTTTGCGATATCTCAAAAACGGCGGCGCGCAGCGCCGCCAAACTTTCAGTAGCTTTTCTTACATCAATTTGACACGTTCCCTGAAAATTTGAGCGAAATCCGTCGGAAAATTTTTGAGAAATTGACGTTTTAGTGACGTCATGTTCGCCATTTTCGCCTCAAAAACGGCAAAAGTTCAAACGCCGGTAACATCTTCATTTTTAAAGGAATCAAGACGTAACAAAAAAAGGTTATACGTAATTTTACTTTGTCTATCAAATGGCTATCTCGGTTTTTTGAAAATTTTGGATTTTGGCCTAAATTTTTTCAAAAAACTGATTTTTTTGGGAAAATCATTATAAAATCCAAAATTTTGAGTCTATCGAAAAAACCGGAATATATGTCAGAGAAGTGGTCTATGTGCACCTACATACCAAATTTTAGAAGAATCGGTTCAAAAATGTGGGAGTTATTCAAAATTTTATGACGTCACGACACACAAAATTTTTGAAAAATGACTTTTTTGGAAGTTCTAGACCTCGTACGGAAACAAAAATAGCACCATTCGATTCGCCGTGAAAAACTGCATCAGATAGACACCTTTTTAGGCCTTAACAACCAACTTCAAAATTTGACCTCACTTGACCTGATCTTGACCTGACCTCGACCTGAAATTCATCCAGAGGTGGTCCATATCACTTATTGAGTGTGCCTATTGAATTCTATGAGTAAAATGACCCATAAAACATGTGTCGCACATGCCCTTTTCTATATTTTTTTTTGGTGACCTGACCTGACCTGACCTGACCTTGACCTTGACCTCTAAATGATATTGTATGCAACGAATATTGTCTTGGTAGCCTAAGAACACGTTTTGGGCGATCAGTCTCAGTCCATGACTCCATTCTTCGGCAACTACGGTGCAAGGCCGATACTGTAGAAACTTGCAATTTGTACCCTTGACCTGACCTTGACCTTGACCTCAAACTTTAAATTAAGTACATGTTTTTAGTAGTTCGTGATGAGAGCTTTCGATTGGCGTTTGAATTTTCCAAATCGGACCATTAGTTCGGGAGATAACAGGGGGGGTAAAATTTACCCCCCCCCCAGCCCCGCGCGTTCGGCTGGAGACCCCAGCCCCGCGCGGGTTAATAATCCAATTTCTCGAAAGTAAAATAAAGCGCCAAACTAGCCGGCTGAATTTTCCAGACAGCTGCAGCTGATAACTTTGCCTGCAATTGAGCGTTACGTCAGTCTGACGTCAGATAACATCAGCCAGGTCATCTGTACACACCGGCCACCCGTCTGCCGCCATTAAACGGCTGACCACCGCGCGGCGTCATACCAAACGTCAGACAGCCCGTCACTCGCCGTCACGCGGTGCTCGTACCGCGAAATCGGGACACCGACATTTGCCAGACATGTGCTTTGGGAGCGTCCGTATGGCTTCCACGAGGCAGTTCTCCTGACCCACGGGCCTAATAGGCCCTGCGCAGTTCGACGAAGTTCTACGCATCGTGCCCAGCGCCGTCGAGCTCGTGATTCTGCGCATCTGGTCGGCACTGCCAACGACCGCCCGTCCGCCTGTCCGTCGGTCAGTCCGACTGTACTAATTGATGGGGGCTCGGACCTGGTGGCCATACTCTCGGTGGGACTGGTGGGGGCCTGGTGAGTGCACCCATCGACCCAAAGCACTACACAGGGCAGCGCAGAGTCAAAGTCCTTGTCTAGCTGGAGTTTGGATATTCGATGACCCGGGATATAACATTAGCAATTAGATAGGGAAATAGCACGGAGAGAATGATGCCTACCGAGGAACATTACAAAACGTAAGCCATACGAGTCGTGCTAAGTGAAATGAAACCGCGTGCAATATGAGGACGTAATGAGCGGACATGTAAAGCTGTGTGAGATATTCAGCTCGGCGGCCGTAGCTGTAAAAGCGACTGCGATGAAGCTACCATTCTGGCAAAGCACAAAGCAGCAATGCTGAGTTGAAGACGGCTGATATTCTGTGAAACACCCGCTCTAACTATGTGCTATTTTCAGCCTCTGTAATCCGCTAAAATGTCCTTTGTAAAAACCGCTATCTGTGCTTGTTTCAGTTGCAACAGCCTGCTGTGGTGTTTGGCTGGCCCGCTGCTGGATTAGTAGCGATATAAATGGTCGCAATCGCAGCGCATTGATCACAAATGGGAGCAACGGCCAGAGCGTTGACCCATCGACCAAACTCGATGCTGTCCAGAACGAAATTACCTGTAGCGTTTAACTGTGACTGTGGTCCCGACTCCCAGCACCATAAATAGCCAATGCCACCGATGTGTCCATCCGCAGAGCGCACATGAAAGATAAATTAGCCGTGAGCAGTGACAATTGCAGCAGCGTAAAACCGGGCTAGTCCAGTTCGATGTTCAATATTTCATGTGAGCCACATCAAACCGGGCCAGTCCGGTCAAGTGTTCAATCTTGTATGCATGTTCCATTGAAATCGTTAGCAAGGTTTGTTCGAATGGCACATGACAAAATCAATCAACTCACCGCTGATCCCTGCTGGCCCTCACAGTCTTGTTATACTGCCAATCTAACAAATCACTAACAGCAACACATCTCCATCAGCGCCTGTTGGATTCTACGGCATCCTCCCATCCTTCAGAAGCCAGCAGCTCGGCAGTGAGCTTGAAAACCAACTGCCGATCGTCGTACTATTCCCGCACCAGAATCCCTACGATGTCCCATGCCCGGACTCTGCGGTTGTCTCATTCCGAGTAGGGCCAGCCGAAGCAGCTTCTTTGCCACCACAGTGAGTCGCCCCCGAGGTCTCAGAGGATGAGAGCTCCTGGTGTCGTAGTGTCGAGGGACGGCGGAGACTGCCGTGGTAGCGGCTGGTCAGTCCTGCGCCGCAGTTGTCAGTTGCGTCAGCCGACACGGTGGCTCAACAGACAGATGGAAACGACGAGAGATGTCAGGAGACGGGTCGATATCGCCCGCCCTGTCCGACTCTGAGGGGCTCTCAGTGACATTCAGTGATTTCAGTGAATCCCAACGACAGCAATACTATCAGTAGTCAGTGATATTGGCTGAGGTATCAATTAGCCCGATTTGCAGCTGCCTGCGTAGTGCGTACGGCTCGATCCCTCGTCCCTCACAGAGCCAATAACCCCCATAATTCGTGACCAAGCTTGTCACCAGACCAGTGATCAATTATATGTTAGCTAGCACTGACAGGTGGGCCCCGTCTCCCCCGCCTCACCTTCACATCAGTGCCGTCCGTGGGCATAAAGTTCTCGTAGATGTAGCTGCCGGTCCGCCGGAGCCGGGACTCGGGTGAGTAGACGCTCGAGCGGCTGCCGATCTGCACAGAATATAAACACACAGTCAGGTGCACAATACACGCTGGAGTAGATGCCGATCTATACAGAACGTAATACACGGAAAGTAATACAGAACATGACGTAACACAGAATACAATGCCCGGTAGACGGAACACATTAGGAAGACTGCCGATCTGTACAGAACATAGACATAGGGGAGAGTGGGGCACATTCGTGCATGGGCACATTCGTTTTCAGCAGTTTATGGGAGCACGAGTGACTGCACGAGCTCAAGGTAAATTATGGAAACATGTCAATCATTGCCGCCCTTCGGTTACTGTAGAAGACAACACTGTACCTGCTGTCATGCTTGATAAAAACGCAGAATTTGTAATATTCGTGAGCTTTCCAAACTTTTCTCATATCATTCATTTTCGTGACCCTGACTCGGAAATGTGATTCAGCTTTTCAAAATTGGGGGCGAAGAAGCTCCCTCTATTCACGGAACTGCTGCAAACTTGTTTGTTGAAAAAGTGTCATTTTTTCAACAAGAAATTTTGAAATATATTACAAATAACGTTGTGGGGCAGGTTCGTGTACGCACTGCCTAGGGGCACATTCGTGCATATTTTTTTTTTTTTAGTTTTTGCGATTTATGACTTTATCTGTAGTAGGTTTCACTAATGACGCTCGCCTGACTCAGCCTCCGCTGCTTGCGACGTCGTGACAAGTAATTCACGCGACATTGGCGAGGTCACGGAGTCCGGCAGTTGGCACATCTCTTGTTGGCCAGCCCATTCTTTCTACACATGTTGTGCAATGCATTCTTGTCGAAAGAAATCAAGTGAAATGACCCCCTGCCAATTTCTATTGGTAAATTTCTGGTAATGCCCGGTAATTCCTCGAACTTTGCAGGGTGCACAGAAGTGTCCCACCCCTTGCACGAATGTGCCCCATACCTGGGGCAGTTTCGTGCAAACGTTCAGTTATTGAAAGTCATGTTTTAAAATAGAAGCGATAATTTTAGAGGATAACTTTTAAAGAAGAAAATATCTGCAATAGTTCCTTTCCATACTACAATCAACAATTTTCCAATTGCACCAACCGAGGAACAGATATATGGATTTATCCATTTTTTACACGAACGTGCCCCACTCTCCCCTACACATGTAACTAACAGACACATAGATATCACATAGATACGTGCACTATAAACAAACAGGAGCGACAACAGATTTTTGCATAAAACAGACACACAATATCCAGCCAGAACCGTAAACACATTGCCAGACAACCACACAAAACAGAGTCCGATTCAGACACACAATAATCGTGTTCTGGATGGTCACACAAAGTCAGTGTACACAATAAGCACTGGAGCCAGACGCAAAAAAAAATTAAACCAACTAAAAACTTTATTACGATTGGTCCTTGGACAAGACTTGTGATTACAGGATAAAACAAGAAGATAATCTCAATCGATAATAAGTTGAGATCCTATAGAAAGTAAAGGTATCTAGCGATGCAACTGAAGAAAGATGAAAACACGCTGGTATGAATGTGAAATGACAGGAACGTAAGGACCGTCACATTTTCAAACAGAGATGCCACTTTTGAACCCGCGAACCCGCTTTCTGCGGGTTTTCAAAACCCGCAGGGTTTTTGGCGGGTTCGAGAAGCAAAACTTGTCGTGTGGCGGGTATTTGGCGGTCAGACTTAAGAACCTATAAATTTAATTTTTTTATTTTTTTTAGATACAAAACACAATGCCCAGTGCATTTGCTCAGTTTAACAATACAATATTCATCAAAACAACTTTTAAAACAGAACCAAATATAAAAAGATATCAAGGAAGCACATTTCAAATGCAAAACTGAAAACAGCCAGCAATAGCATCCACACTCCACAATCTAGCAATGACCAAACCAGGGTACAAGCAACTACAAAGCATAAATAAATGCTGATGAAAGCATTCCATAAAACATAAAAGAACCTGAAAGCAAACTTATAGGAAGCTGAACTGAAGTCTATGTGCAGTGTGCACTATACATTATGGAAGAACCCAGACATGAGATGTTGAAAATCAGAGCAAATGCCACATGTTACTTTATTTGCGTCTGGTCGGCATAAAAAAGAGCTATCAGCTAAACAAAAGTTGATGCAAATTCATTGATTACCTATCCTATGTTCTGTTCCACCCTATGCCTATTACGAAAATAACACACCAATTACCCTTACAAAAAACCAAAATATTGACTGGCATGCGGCCCAAACATAACGCAATACAATACTGGCGCACTTCCGACATTCTGACAAGGATTGGCATTTGACTGCGTCAATTTTGGTCTCTGAGGCGAAGGAAAGCTGTCATTGATGACGCAATAATTTTACAATCAATTTTTCTGTCTTGGTTTTTGAATACCTCAAAATAGCAGTTATACATTTTACAAAACCACGTAGCTGGTCGCATTTATTTCTTTTGTCTTTTTACGTCCTTACCATTTGTATGCCGAGAGAGGACCAGCCGGGGAGCATTACCAAGACCATCTATATGATTATTACATTTAATTTAGCATTTACTGTCTCTTTATTCTTAACCGGTGATTAACCTCTGAATTGTAAAACTTTAGCTGTTGTGTAAAATAATTTTATCAGAATGGCACATGAATATGCATTATACAACGGTGTTTTCGCAACAAGTTCGCACTAACTACGGCCGCAATAATTTACCCCGCGTTCGATGTCTCTCAGACGACGAAGATTCTTCGTCGTCCGGCCAATCATGTTCTAGGTCAGCGGGGGCTCGGCTGCGGTTATGGATCGTGATTGGCCGGACAGCGTAGAATCTTCGTCGTCCGAGAGACATCGAACGCGGGGTTAGTCGCTGTAACATTCCTTGCAATCAGCTGTTGGTGACGCTTCTGACGCATGTTTCCAGAAATGCGTGGTTCATTGGTGGTTAGTTGGTTTTTGGTGGGATTTTGCATTATTTGTTTTATGTGTAGATCGACTGGATACTCATTATTCACCGTGTCACTATTTATTTTTAACTGGAAATCGCATATCTTTTTATATCAACATTCATTTTGATAACAATATCATTCCAGAAGCCTAACATTGAGAGGGAGCCAGAGTGAAATTTTGATCCTCAGCCAATGCTGAAGGGAAGGTGAGAGAAAGATTTTACTGAACTCTTTTCAGAAAGGAATTTCAAATGTATTGATGCATTATTCATTTTCCACTATCCAGTGTGCACTTCCTGAGGACTTAGCATAGCAATTTCAAGTCCTTACTATTTGTTTGGCTGTCTTTTTCTGCACAGCAATGAAGCAAGTAAGGTTTATATAGCTCTAGCATTGACCCAGCTGTATTTTTTTCTTGCTAAAGCAGGTTTTTAAAATTGCGGGTTTTTTGCGGGTTCGGCTCAGCCAAAATCAGCTTGCGGGTAGTTGTGGTTGGGCAAGGGGTAGCTGCGGGGCGGGGCGGGTAATGAAATTGCAAATTTGTGGCATCTCTATTTTCAAAGCTATGGTTAAGTGGTAAGCTAGCCGAAGTCGGGACTTCAGAGACATGTCAACACCACTTCAGCATATGAATCCGCGGACAGAATAGCAAACAGGAATTACTGAATAATTAATGGTTCCCCAAGGTCTGATCAAAAAGATCTACGACGAACCCATAAGGAATGCCCTCACTAACGCGATCAGACACCCCTAGATTCCGACTGACAAAAATAGACATCGGGTAACAGCTCGGCTAAAAAAGTCAACCCAGCATAGGTCATTTAGATGTCGCTAGGCTGGTTCCCGAGATCTTCATTTTATGACAGGACGTACAAAAATAGACGTCTTTTCCGAGCTCCACTAAAAACGTCACCCATAGATAGCCGTCGTTCATAAATAAATCGCTTGGCTGGCCCGTGAAGCCCCTACTCTGACAGTGCCACCGTTCAATGGCCGCTGAGTGTGACAGTTTCTGGCAACCCGACCGGCGGAGGGGAAGGGGGGGGGGGTGAGGGGGCACCGGAACCGGCTCCGTCTGACAGCAGACCGGACACCGGCGGAACACCCAGCCGGGCCGGGCCCTCCCACTCGCCTTCATTAACCTATCACCGAACCGACGCGACACAGCGCCCGAGTTACGTCAGTCTGGCAGCGCGACCGCCAATCTGGCATCGTCTCGACGTGACCGGATCGACACCTTATCCACGCCCGTCTCCTCCCCAACCGACCCATTCCATCCATCCCGCCGGATAAAGAAAGGATTCACTTCTGTCAGGGTGTCAGCACGTCATGTCAAAACGTTATCCCAACCAATTACCACACCCATCCGGCATCCACCCAGACCTGCCTCTGACGTTCTTGTAGCGGTGCCCCCTTTCCCCAACCCCTTCCCCTCTCTCCGACACACCCACTTCCCCCCCACACCCTCTATTTCTACCTCCGCTACCTTGCGGAAGAGTCTCTGGCTGCCCCCGCCGGCCGACGACGGGTAGTAGATGTAGATGTTGTGGTCCTCCGCCGACACCGGCTTCTCCACGAACGGCTTGTTGAAGGTGATGCCGTTAATTTCCACTACGTCATCACTCTCGAGGAAGTCGCGTTCCTCTGTGGAGGAAACAGAGGGGAATTTGTCAGGTCAACTCAGGGCAGATTGGGTCGGGTCAGATGAGTTTAGGTCAGGTTAGAATGAGTTGTGTTCTGTCAAGTAACGTGGGGGTCACCCTATCACGTCAGGTCAGGTTGTTTCAGATACTCAGGTCAAGTTGGGTCATATCACGCAACTGAGGCGTTCAGCGGACACAGACTGTTTCGGGGACTTGAACGAGACAAGTGTCATTTCATTAGAGAAGAATAGGGTGAGTTGAGTGTCCATAACGTTGGATAATGTGTCTTTATTACCGGCGTTATAGTGCAAATCGGGGCCTTCAGAGATCTCTAAACAACACTTAAGTGTCCATTATGTCCACAGTAAAAACAGAATGAAGCAAAAAAAAAAAAATCAGGCTAATGATACAGGAGTCGCATTGCATCAGCGAACGGGCCCAAGGCCACGAGCTTAATTTCCTCTGTTCAAACTGCCTTCCCAACGTTTCCTCAATTCATTCATTCATTCTGTCGATTCGTCGGTTGGAATCTCCTTAATAAGATATATTTTTAGCTAAGGTCCAAGAGGAGAGAAGGCTCCAACGAAGTGGAAGCAAGCGTTTCTCGGTTTCTTTGGCGTGCACCGTTACATTTTATAACTAACCGGTTCACTTCTTTTTTTTCATTTCTGCAATGTTTTCGAAAAAAAGGCATTTGATTTTACTGGCACATCAGGCACCCAGACAAGGACTTTTTCTGCCTTTGCAGTCCACTGACCTCGTGGAAAGCAGCTCCATCGTCCTTGTACTTCCTTCCGTAAATAAAAGATCATGCGACTACTCACCACCGACGGCCAGTCCACGCCCCGACTCGGTCCCCCCTCCGCCCCCCCCCCCCCCCGGATCGAGCGCCGCTGCGCCCCCTCCGATGGCGTAACCGGCACACAGCTGACTCTGGGTCAATCACCACGCAGCACAGCAGGACACAGCCGGAGCAAACCGGACCGACGCCGCCGCGGGTCACGGAACGGGGTACACGCAGGAGTGACACGAAAGTGTGGTGTCATTTCGTGTAGGGATGGTCGGGGTGATGGCAATGTGGGCTGATGTCACAGCGAGGCCCTCCGCTGTGCGTATCACACAGGAAGGGCGCCCCACTGTGACATCATGTAGACACGTCACAAGCAGCCGCGGAGCGCAACTGGCTACAGAGCCACCGGAACTTGCTTACAACCGCCAGCTGGCTCGAGTGGGTTTGGTGATGATAAAACTGTACACTGGGAGACAAAGGAATGAGGGAAAGGCTAAGAATTATTCTTGCTCCGAGGTAAAGCCTCGGGCAGCCTCACGGCTGGGTGTTCTACTGCGTCAATCGCCCCGGTCACAACATTGAGACAGAAGTCAATAAACTGAACCTGACTCGGAATGCGGACAGCGTACAACGTGTTTATCAAAGGAAAACGATGAGCCAGGAGCTGAGAATGTGCTAACCAAAACAATGGCGTCTCTGTGGCCGCATGTGGGGCTTTACAACACCAAACATCCCCGGTATAAAGGAAGACGACATCGCTATCTTCGGGATGTGGTCCAACTCGCTGGTGTGACGAATTTATAGCCGCCATAAAAAGTTGTCGTGCAATCAGCATGATTTGATAAGTGAGACAATAGTAGGGAGTAGTTCAGAGGGGACATCGCTGTGGACTGCGGTTAAACAATAAAAGATAATAGACCAGCTGAAACTCAAAATAACACAAAGAAATTGGCACCGATGACACCGCAAGCCAAAAATATCTGTCACCGATTACCCTCCCTGTCATTTCTAAAAATCATGACCATCATCATGTCTTTCAGAGGTCAGAAATATTCAAAAGATCTGGGCGTCGAATGAAGAAGAGTTAAAAGTTGTAGAACATAGTAGAATGTAGGTAAAAAGTGGCAGAAGTAGAAGTTGTAAAAGCTGTCAAGCACATGTATAAGTTCAGCCAAACAGCTTCACAAACACGCAGCAAAATATCCTTCCCATCCTCACATCCGCTTCCACCCACCCAATCACCTCCACCCTCACTCGCCGGTGCGGCACCGTGCCGTCATCGGACGCCATCCGAGTGTCGTCAATGGGCGGCCGTCGGCCCGTTTGGCAGCGGACGGCGTCAGCCAATATCGTCGACAGAGACGGGTCGAGGCGCACGGCCAGCAGCCCGATCAATAGGCGGCGCCTCCAGCCGGCACCGAACGAGGTCTCGGTCGCCGGAAGGTCCGTCAGAGGATCCACAGGGGACAGGGGCAGGAAGGTCTGGGTCGCGGGCAGGCTAGCCAGAGGGGCAGGGAAATGGGCAGGGATGGAGGTCTTGGTCGCCGGCAGACCCGGCAGAGGGGACAGGGGCAGGGCGGAGCAGGAACAAGGGCGGGGGCAGGGATGGAGGTCTGGGTTACTGAACCGTAAGAGGGGACGGGCGGACCATGGAAGGAGGTCTCGGTCGTCAGCCAACCCGTCAGAGGGGACAGGGGAAGTAAAGACAAGAGCGGGGATAATAGGTCTGGGTAGCTGAACAGTGAAAGGGGACAGGCTGAGAGGGGAAGGTCTGATGATTTATAAGAGAGGACAGAAAGAAAAAGGCGGCGGTGGGAAGTGTCGGAAGGCGGAAGTGTGGGTCACCCATTGCAAGCAGGAAGTCTGGCCGCATGAAGAACATGTGCGAGAGCGCGGGGGACAACATCGCCATTAAACTTAACCTTGGCCATTGAACTGGACCACTTGCCAGCACTGTAAAACAAGGCCGGGGCAAAATTGTCACAGGAGAAGCGGGCGGAAGTGGCCAATCGCAGATAAAGGAATATGGCCTAGACAAGGCACTTTGATAAAGGGAATTTAGTTGACAGGTGCGATATTCAGATTGTGAGACGTGGTGATGTCTTTGGTAGATCATCATTATCGAATCATTATTAAATTTGGTGCGAAAAGTGAAGCTCATTAGTGATACCATACTAAGCGCGAGAGCAACTTGCGATCACAGACGGTTGCAAGGCTCACGACAGCAGTGCGTCATAAATCAAGCCTGCCAACAGCCCAAGCTAACACAACAAAGAATGTGTCAATCGGCAGACCCCCACTCCACAATGTTGATGCAGATCGTATATCGTTATCGTACGGCGTAAACATAACTCTCGAGACGCTACTAGACGCAATACGCGAGTCGCTAACCCTTGCTTATCGAAAAGGGCAGAGGGATACAGGAAGGTAGAGGAAGAGAGGGCCAGAGGAACAGACGGACAGGACAGGGGCAGGGGACAGTGGGACAGAGGGACAGCGAGACAGAGGGTAGAGCGATAGAGTGATACAGGAACACAGGCCCATGGGTGGAGAACCTGGCCCGGCCACCCCGGCCGTGACCGGGATAACTTTCAGCCTACCCCGGCGCGGCCGGGGTAACTTTTCCACTCTTGAACACAGCGACAGATGGGTGGATAGATAGGAGCAGATAGATGGCGGAGAACAAATCAGAACGGAGGACAGATAGGTACGAATGAAAGGAGAGACAGAGGGATATGGGGATAGACGGACAGAATGACAGGACAGAGGACCCGTCGGGAGCGATCCGTTCGTAGATGGGACGGCGCATCAGTCGCTGTCCGTCGCCACCGTCGCAGCGGACGCGTCGGACCGACTCGGGACGAGCTAGCTACGGTCGATAGGTGGTGATGGCTCAGCAACAGCGTCCAACTGAGGAGCCACCGGTCCCGCGCCGAGACCCAGAGGTCGTGGCCATGACCGTGGGTGACCAAAGAGGACGTCAGATATGAGCTGGGACCCAAAGGTCATGGCTATGACCGGACTGACACCAGGAAACAGGGAAATCCCGAGAGGTCACCAAAGGTGATCAACGTGTCTACAAGCCTTAAGTGACCAGAGAGATCGCAGTAAGGGCTATATTGAACTATGAAATCGGTCGCCAGAAGCCAGGACCGAGACCTGTGCGCTGAAGCCGGCCACGAGGCGTAGATGACTTTAATTAGTGAGCGCGAGAGTAAATGGCGAACTTTTCAGAGGAAATTGCCAACGGCGGTGGAATTCCCGCCAAAGACCCGCTGTCGTGCCGTCGGATCTGCTGTTAATTGAGGGGTTACGTTAAATGTCTTCTTCTTGGACGGCACCAGGTCCGTTTAGTGGACAGGGGCTTCTTCTTGGAACAGGTCCGCTTAGTGGTGTGGGAAGGGTAACGGCAGCAATGAGCACCTGGTGGAACTGAAAAACAGGAACAGGTATTTAGACCCATCGAAAACAAAAAGTTTATGGACGATCTTCTATCGGCTGAGATGCGTACCGTTCTATAAACACTGGTGTAAATAACCAGGTTAATTACCGAAAGGCATCCCACAGTGTATGGTATGGTACCTTTCTCTTTGTGCTGCCGCCTTCCGACAGCAGCTTTTTACACCTCATAAACCGTGTCAACAGTAAAAGGCACTCTGCCTCCATAGCTCTGTCAATGCAAAACAGCGCCTCTGTCGGTATGTTGTGAAGACAACAAACCCCTCCCCTGTCCCACGCCGCCACCACAGGCAGTTCGACCTCGACCTCCGTCCACTGAAAACTCACTACGGACTACCGATTTTGGCAGCAGGCACCCGGCCGAACGACGACGCCACGCCACGCCGCGCGGGCCGGGCCGGGTCGGATCGACTCCCAGGCGTGTCGTGCGGCACAGCCTACCACCACAGGCCGCCATCGGACGGGATTGTGTGAGTACACGCTTTGACAGCCACCGGCTGTGCTGTATGGGCTGTGTCATTCATATTTAAGCCGGGATGCATCATTAGTGTGTGTGAGTCACAGACTGGGCTATGTCAGTCACTGGGCTATGCGTTAGCCGTCCGTCAGCTTATGAGGACGACATACCGGGTTTAGGGTCTCACCGGGTATAACCAAGTGTGGCAGAGCGTGAGAGTGTGTAGTGAGTTTGACCGGTCACTGACCGCGAGTCGGGATGGAAGCCCTGGGGTGACGTCCCACTGGTAACGTTCCTACTGGCAGCGTTACCACTGGCAGCCCCTGGCCCACAGCGATAGCACTCAGAGGCTGGCGGGGGTCGGTACCCCCTGCTGCTCTCCAGACCGCTGGGATGTGGGGATCCATTTAGGTCAACACAGAAACAAACGGCAGCCACAGCACTCATTGTCCTAGGACTAGGGACGGAGGTGCAGGCAATGCATGCAGAGAGATAATTTGACGGCAGAGGACACTAAGGGGTATAAGTAAAGAAATATTCCTCCTTTGAGTGGATAAAAGGGAGGCAGTCAGCGTGCTCTACGTACCGACAAAGTCTGGCGCGTCCCTGTCCAGGATGGCGAACCGGGGCAGGTCGATACCCTCTCGCTCCAGTAGCCGGTACACCATGCGCCGGTCCTGAAAACGGGAGAGATATGTTGGTGGCGGTCACCGATAGACGAAGACTGATGGAAAGAGGTGCAACACACATTCGAGGTTATCAGTGATGAACGGTAGCTAATCGAGCATGTAGAATAAACATACACGCACGCGCTGAAGAAAGCATTGACTTTTTTCAGAGTATGGGGATTGATTTAAAACTCCAAAACCAATCATATAATGGATTTGTATGTTCCAGCTTAGGTAAGATAAGATAGGTAAGGCCCACGTGCCTGTGTATAACGTTGGTAAATACTGCACATGATAGCGTGGGACAGCACGACACTGATGGAATGGTGGCGGGTGCACGCACGGCTTCTATAGAGCCTTGCGCACGGCGCACGTCCGCAGTTATCAGGGAGGAGGGGATGTCGGGATGTCCAACAACCCCGAGTGATGTCACGGAATTACTGAAGCCGTTGGCACACAACTACTTGAAGCGCCAAGTCACTGCGAATCAAGTGCCAAACACGTTACGAAATGGACTATCATTGAGAAATACTGATGCGTCATGACACGGCCAGATAAACCATCGGATGCTCTGAGCAGTGCCTTTGCAATCAAAATATATCGGGACACAGCTATTGTCCGTTCCTCACGCACCGACCGAGCTAGACGCCCCCCCCCCCTCCCCCCCATTAACGAGCTTACCTGACCACCCACACATTCACACACCTTTCGTCTACCCTTTCCCCCAACGACACACCAGGACCAATCTCTTGCCCCGCCACCCCTGACGCTTATCCCTCACCTCCGCTACAAGGGGTGAAGCAACACGTGCATATCGCCTCATGTGTCGCTATCATCCCCTCCCCAGTGACTATCCGATCGACCCGTTCCGTGTCCCCTGGCAGCAGCTAGAAAACAGCGTGCACGGGGAGCGTGTTGCCAACTGTAAGCACCTGCTCAGAGGCGGCAGCGATACGACACCTAAGGCGGCACCGCAAAAATGGATTCAGTGGAAAAATGGATTCAGTGGACGGAATCAGACTATCGTTATTCAGTAGAGGAATTAGAATACCGTGGATTAGACATAGCAAGTGGCGGAGCAGCCTAACTATGGGCAGAATACAGCGGACAGCAAACCGGACGAATCGGACAGTGCGATGGAGCACCATCAGACTGGGCACAGTAGGCAGCAGACTAAACAAAACAAGCAGTGGAGCTTTCAAAGGACCAGACACAATGGACAGGCGAGCTATTACCGCGCCAGAAACAGTGCGGACATCATATTGTAATGTCACGTAGCTGGGCGCAGTGGACAAGGGCATAAATAAATTAGCTATAGAAGGATGTGAAGCAATCACCAGGCAGACTGCCTGACGACAGCGCTGCCATTATCGACCGCTCCAGCGGCCCTCATCAGCTGCGCTCGGTCTGTTTTCAGAGTTCAGACGCATTCTCCGCGGATTAAGACGGCTCCAAACGGAGCTTGGTAACAGGGCGCAACAGCTGAAAATGATGACGGATAGTCCGCTCCATTGCAACTGGTCTGGCCAGGAATGAGATCGTTTGAAGGAGGGCGGCGCTTCTGATGAGAGTGGAAGGCCGGTGGACGGCGGTTGGGTTCAGTGGTCGATGAACGGATGGTATGAGCAAGGCCTTGTACGTATGTGGACGGCAGACGGACTGGACATGGTTGGTCGACAATAGGCAGCGGACGGTAACCGGAGGGCAGTGGACGAGTGGACACTGGCTGGTGGACGATGAATGATCGTTGTTGTACGGTGGACGGTAAATAATGGACGACGGTGAGTGAGAGTCGGTGGACGAAGGCTCCGCCGGTGTCCAGCCAACTATCAGTGATGGGACGCGCCACACATTGGTGATTGGTCCGGCCGCTGTCTCCTAGCTGTTGGCCAGTGGCCGTTGCACTGCGGACGATGGATTTCTCCACTGGTGTCCTACCGACCATCAGCGATGGGACGCCGCACGCATCGGTGATTGGTCCGGCCGCTGTCTCCTAGCTATTGCCTGGTGGACGGTGAACAGTGGGCGAGCGATGACTCTGTATCCTGCCGACCATCAGTGATGGTACGTGCCTCACACACACACACCGGCGATTGGTCCGGCCGCTGTCCCCGCCGTCGTCCGGTCGTTTTTGTCGGCCCTGATTGCGGCGGTGGCGGTAGTGACAAAAACCCGACTCTGCCGCCGGGCCCCCGGCCGAGACCGTAGTAACAGCCCGTGTGCCACCTCTAACCAGAGATGGTAACGAGCGGGTCGGAACGAGTAACGAACGGCGGGAGAGCCGTGCGCGACAGTCCACAGCGCCGCGGGGCTGGGTAGGCTCGTACAGACAACAGGCTGCGCACTCCGTACAGATAACAGGGCATCTGAGTCTGCCCGGCGGCTGTGCCGACTCGATACAGTTAACGACGGCCGTTACCGGGTAGTAGCCGGAGGTGAACGACGAGCTCTGAGTATGGGGAGGGACGATAGCCCGGGGGTTCTCGGCGACTTGTCGGAAGTCTTTGTTCGGTCGAGAGACGGTCCTTTGTGGTTTGTTCCCAGTAGGGCGTGGGGCGCCGTCGGGCGCCCGGTAGCGCGACACCGGCCCGGTGGCAGGGCCCGGTGGCCACGCTCGGTGTTTATTTACGACCAGGCGCGGGCGGCAGCCTCTGAGAGGTAAGTTTCCACCAGACGTTGTGACGTGTTGCCCTGGGCACCGGGCCAGAGCCAGGCCCCCGTCAGACAGGTGAAGGGTCAGTAGACGAGCAGCGAGACTTTAGATGGGCGGGACAGCCGGACATACCAGAGTAGATCGGGCGGATATAGCAGGAAGGAAGCGCTTCAGACAGAACAGGAGCAGACAGAAAGACAGAACAGGAGAGGGACGTTGGATCAGAATGTCAGCGGTCAGGCGGGAAGAATAAGTGCGGGAAGGAAGGACACGTGACTTGATGGTCAAATAGGACTCCTCCCATTCCCAGCCGCGCCCATCTCCCGCCCCCGACGACCCCTGCTTCTTCCCGGCTTTGACCATCTACTCCAACCACTCCCAGGCTTCTTGTCTGTCCTCGGAGCCCATCATCATCATCATCATCACGTTTATTAAGAAACAAAAGAATACACAAAATCAAGATAAGTAAGAACTGGTGCAAAAGCACTCGAAAGTGCTTAATTCGAGGCACCAGCTCTGTTAAAAAACATACAAGCAAATAAACACATACACACATATACAAGAACTTAAAATGGATTCAAACAAACTAAATCGCCGGTCGCCGCCACCAAGCCGAACGCGTCGCGCATTAGAGGTTGTCCAGAGAGCCCCGTTGCCGACGCCACCCCACCGAGACACGCCCATCCCGCCTCGTAATTAAATAGCTCTAATCTAATAAATAGCTCCATCATGCTCTAATCTCCACCCCAGCGGCCCAGCATCAACACACTATAGGGGCATTCCATGTCAACCGGGACAGCCAAAATCGGCCACCTCTGCGATTTTGTTCAAACTTGGTATTCTTATAGGCTATTGGGTGAAACCTCTGAGGGTGAAAGGATTTTGTCATATGCCCTCGGGCTACAGAGATACAAGTCGCTAAACTTTTGCTTTTTGAGCAGAATTGGACGTGTATTGCAATCTTGAAAGATCTATAGCTTCAACATTTTTGAAGCTATTGATTTCAAACAAACTGAAACGTGTACATAAGGAGTTATGCTAGTTAAATTTGACAATTTATACATTTTTTGGTGATTTTGAATTTATTTTATTTTGAATTTATTTCTTAAAATGTTATTTGTGAAAAATGGGTACCCTTCGATTTCGCTCAAATTTAGATATTGTCTTCCACTACACGTAAGGCAAACGTGCTGAGAAAATTAGAGTGGGCCAACGATAACTTTGGATGATATAGCAACAAGTAGTGCAACGTAGCACGGGCGGTGGAAGGGGCCGATTTCGCTAACTCCACCTGTTTATCACCAATAACTCACGCCATAATTATCATATTAACGTCAAACTTTCAGTATCTGTCCAGAATTAAATTGCACATCCTCCCGTGCAAGCAATAGGCAAATCAGTCCACCACTTTTCTAGTAATAGTGGTGTAAAGTCAAACATTCCTGCCGGAGTGGCGCGGCGGCCGGCGCCGGCCGTTGCCGCCTGAATGGTAGACTGTGCCGGCGCGGGACGGTTCCATCTTTGCACCGCGCTTCTTACCGCTGATTATAATCGATTCGTGTCAAATTTTGTGTGAAGGCTTAAAAATGTACAGGCAATCTAATGTTCAAATAAATACGAAATCAACTAGTAAAAATTGAGTTATTAGGGTGCAAACACAATGTGACTGAAACGTTTCCCGCGTCGGCCGATCCCCGCCTCTGCCGGCGCCATCTTACTCTTAGCAGGCCACTAACTGCCAAAGTTATGGTAAGATTAACTAGAGATTCTCATAACACTACAAATGTCGTATAAAGGAAGAAATAGAAAAATCGGCCAGTAACTCTTAGAGCTATGGGCGTATTAACGCAAAAAAGTCACTATAGCAAATTTGATCACGTTTAACCTCATTTGATCTTGAAGATATTGATCTAGGACCATGAAATTGGAACACGATAAAGTTCCCCACCCCACCTACAATTCAAATTCCGTTTTTCTAATACCTTTTTTTGGCTAAACCGGGCCTTTCTCCCCTAGCGCTGGGAGTCAGGCGTATTTCCTTTTTGCAACCAAAGAAAGGCGCTGCCCGGAGAATACCCAATTTAATCATTAAAAACTGGCTTACGATGACCAGCTATCTTCGTGGCTTAGTAGTAAGTGTGCCGAGTGTACCCACCTCGAAAGCTAAAGGTCGCTGGCTCGCGGCCGGTCAGCCTAAGCCCTGAAGTGTTTTAACACGCATTCGTTTTTTAAGTAGCATCTGGCCAGCCGGCAGCTGTCGTGAGGGCTAATGTTCGTACCTATCTAGGTAGCATTTGGCCAGTCGGCAACTGCCGTGAGGGCTGTACATATTTACGCGTGTTAGATTAGGTCAGGTCACGTCAGGTCAGGTTAGGTTTGCTTTAGTTTGGGGTAGAAAGAAGCATCTCCGGGTAGCGCCTCTCCTTGGTTGCTAAAACGAAACACGCGAGTCCCAGATATTACGAAGTCCAAAAGACAGTTACGTAGACGTCGGCCCATTCTGGATTTTTTATATGATGCAGCTAATGTATAGGAGAATAAAATATGTAAAAATGAGCAAAATCGAAGGATACCCATTTTTCAGAAAATCAAAATTTATTTTTTGAATTTTAATTAAGTTCACTAATTAGTTAATTACGTCAATATTGTTATCCTCAAATGAAAGCGTGATCTATTCCCTCCATTTCACACTTTGTCTCGTGGTGATATGTCTAAAACTTCAATAGTTATGACGCTTTAAAAATGATAATGTACCTTGCCTAAGTCAATGTTTGATGACGTGTATCTCGGAGACGTGACGTCATATCTTGACAAAAAAATGTCTCCTTTCTTTTCATATATAGATGACTAGGTTCACAAAGTTTCGCAAAAATCGGAGGAGGTGAGGTTCAAAATGATCATTTTTTGTCCCACTTGACGTGGAATGCCCCTATACTAGGATCGGGTAACTGAGAGCTAACCCTCCAGCCTGCATCATTGCACAATGTGCCTTACCTGAAGCGTGTACTGCATCTGTAGGTTGTTGATGATGAACGGTTTCCGCAGCTGTGAGTACTGGATGGCCTTCTCCAACGGGAAGCCCTTGGAGTGAAACGAAATGAGACAGTCGCACAGCGGCCAGTTTTCCACCGGCTCCTGAAACACAATAAACATTGGCGTCACAGGGGGACGATACAGTCGCAAAGTGGCTACTTTTCCACAAGCTCCTGAAACACAACAGACACATGGGACGTCATAGGGAGACACCATTGGGCTGCTGAGTCCAAGCCGTCATAAACGGTGATGTCAAATGGGATAAGGCGTCACTGCAAGGGGTCACATGTGAAACAGAATTTGTATTTACAGTCATAGAAGTGACGTCACGGAGGTGATAGGGAAGGCGTCACACTCAGCAAGATTCACATATTCGCATGTGGCGACATCATGAAGGGTACGGTAGATTGCAGGGATTCAGGCGGTCGCACGTGACGACACCACCAAAGGGAGGTCCGGGAGCTCCCAGAATGTCGCGCACGACCGGGGCCGGAAATTGGAGCGTCACAGGGCGGAAGGAAACGGCCCGAACTCTCGGGGATCGCTCTGCAACCGCTCGGAACCCCCTGATGGGCACACAGATAGGCAGGAAGCTCCATGTCGTCACGGTGACGACAAAAGAGAGGATATTTCATAGTCGACCGTAACATGGCAAGGACTGTCGAAAAACGCAACGCAAACATACATGGTTTGCCGTTATACAGTGTGCACTAGGTAGCACGCTCAGCGGGGATTGACCGTGGAATAACACCGCGACAGAGAGGGAGAGCCAAGGCAAACACCGAACGACGTGTTATATAAGCGCTGCATGGTCAGCCGGACCTGAACAGGTGGGGGACGGATTACGAAACAGGGCGGCGCAAACTACCGATTCACACATAAAGGTAAGCCAGGACGGACACCGTAGCTCAGGGCATATTGTCGGCTTAGGATAGCACTACCGCATTGTAAGATGGTTCGTCAGCTAAAACGGCTCGTTCGTGGCGCGATACAAATCAGGCTACCTCGCAAAACAGACAGCAATGCGCGGCATCGGCTCAGTTCGGTTTAGTGACATTCGCAGGTGAGCAGGCGTAGTTACAGCTGCCAGGTGGCGTCAATCGCAGGCCCGCAGCGTCAGACAACAAACAGCAGACGTGCCTCAGTCACGGTCACTGTTCGTGAGTCACCGTGACTCACGGACGTTCAGTGGAAACCCCAAAACTTTCTACCTAAGGGAGCGGTAAGTACTTGTACTGACCAATACCCACACTCAGCACTCCAGCAAAGAGTGGTAGACACCTGCTGGGGTTCCCACACACTCGGCCACACACCGGTTTAGGGATGATGTTGATGTTTGGGGTTGAAGAGCGACCGGGTGGCAATGGTCAGCGACGCTAATTCACTGCAGCTGCTAGGGGAGCGGTAGCGGAAAACCGTGGGTAAGAGCGGCACCACCACCCTCCACCCTTAGTAAATAACAACCATGGACCGGCAAGGAAATCCGGCTTGGGAGTTCCATTCGTTCATTTACTTTGACTATGGACTCCTGCATATTGCCATAGACCTCAGTATACCGAAGCATACAGTCTTGAGTCTATGATATTGCATATCCGGAGTCAAATAATGCCAACTCTGAGTCAACACTGGTCTCCGAGACGTCCCAGGTACTCGTATGTACTCACCTTGAGTATGACATGTTCGGGGAAGATGAGACACTTGATGTACTCAAACTCCTCCAACCGGGTGAGGATCTCCTTCATCGGACGGGAGCCCGACTTCTTTTCCATGGCACAGATGCCGACAACCACCTGGGGAACGACAGGTCAGGTCAGATCAGGTTGGGTTAGAGGGCCAGGTAAGCTGTCTGACGTAGGGGACAGAAAGGAGACGCTCAAATTAGCCGACAGGAACAGGGGGACGTTCAAGGTCAGTTTTGTAGGACAGGGGACCGAGCGGGCGTTCAAACTCAATTATCCATTTCCTCTGATTTCAACTAAGCCATGGATTAGATATTTTCTACCTTCAGCTGTATCAGTCAGGAGACTGAGGGGAGGCCTGTGATAGAACAGGTATCGCTGTCACTAATGGAACAGAGTCGGTAATATCCAGTTTCTTGCCTTCTTTTCCAGTCACTCATTTTTGATCGTTTAAATAAACTAAGGTTCGTGATCTGATGCTCCGTAAACACCCTACCTAAAATTCCAGTTCCCTTTTGCCCAGAATCGCGCCTGCCACTAACCTGTTTTCCTTCATCGTCGTAGTCATCAGGAATGGCGTCTGCCTGTGGACACGGACGGTACGTACAGGTTAGAGAGTGATCAGCCGAGGTATATCGGTGGCCGCGACCCATCTGACAGGGACGAGCCCGAGCTGCATAGGTGAGAGCGGCAAAATAAAATCATCGGAAGCTGCTACAGGCATAAACAATCGCTGTGAAAAAAGTAAAAGACCGTAATTACATCTGAAAAGTAAGGAGTGCAAACAATCAAGTATCGCTAACAACACTTGAGTTAAATTTGTTTAGGTGGTGACACCCGGAAAATTACTTTATTTCAGTGGCGTAAAAACGTCACAGCTAGACAATAGCTTTAGCCGTTATCTGTCACAAGCGTGTAGAGGGAAACCATATGAAGAAAGCGTGCATTGTTAAGTGCTACAATGCGCAACAAGTCTTTAATATGTATTTGGCAAAACAAAACAAGCTGAATTATGACATCGCACGTAGTTGATGTTTAGCAGAGCTGGAGAAGGTAGATTCGTTAGAAGTCCTACCACAACCTGGTAATACAAGGGTGAAAGACGACGAAGACACCAACACCAGTCAGTAAGGCGGTGAGTTCTGACTGTTCGGTTGGTCTAGCTGTAGTCAGAAGTTAACTATCGACCAGCACCACAAACAGGGAGCAAGCAGTATCGATGACGGAAAGTAACAGAGTCGTCAGCGGCCGACGACGGGTAAACAGTTACGGCATGCACCACAGATACAGAGTTAGTGACAAACAGAGGGTGGCTGAGGGTGGACAGAACGCGCACACAAACACACAGGGAAAACACAGACATATCAGGCAGCGTGGTGATAGTGATACGACAGGACAACATGAAAAGCTTCGGGACACTTTGAAAGGTCAACACAGCATCCTAGGTTGAGCGAGAGGGAGGACGAAAAGACAGTGGAAATACACATAAGCTAGCGTGTAGTGTGACGTATGTTGTGCTGGACTGGTAGTTCACCAGGTTCTAGGACAGCCGACGGACAAACAGCGGAAATGGGCAGAGGCGGAAGCGAATGGGGAGGAGGCGGCAAATGAGAAGGCGGCGGCTAACGGAAGAAGGCAGCGGAAAATGGCGAGCGGGGGCGACAATGCCGACCGTCTGAGAGTGGAGCAAGGACGCGCACCGGCGACAGACCGGGCCACAGAGGACGCCCGGTCGTCATCTTACGTCATCACGCGTCATCGGATCACATCCGCATTCGGTGCGAGATCGCGGAGCATGGCATGCCCCCGCCCCAGTCCTGTGAAGGCCGTCTCACGGGGGGAGGGGGGTAGAGAGGCCGTCCGCGGTGTCACAAACCGTCACAGGGTCGTTACCGGCCGTCACGGGGCAGTCACGGGGTCATCACGGGGTCATCACGCGTCCGTCAGGCACCGCGCACGTGCCGCCCCCTCGCTGGTGTCAGCTGACCGCTGCAGAGTCCAATGAACACCACGTCGATCGTAAACGCGCTGAGGAGGGGAGGGGCGGGGCGGAATGCCACGCCCCAGGCGCAGCTGTCTAAAGCCTCCGGAGGCCGGCGGGTCGACAGCGACCGTGACCCGACCGACCAGAGGACATACGACGGACACGGAAGGACACCGGACACCTGCGCTATGAGGAAACCGACGCGCCTGTCGGGCCGTCCCACTCACGGTGAGCGGAAATGGTGAGCACGCGCCACCGTGTGACAGGTATTCGCGAAAAGTGAGCGCTACGGATTACTAAAGAGGCTACTTCGCTTTATCTCGTCGGAATTATCTAAAACATAGGTTATCGGTCACGGACATAGACATAGCGGACATAGCGGATAGAGCACGGACGTCGGGCACACCGGCGCCGGCAACATGGGACTGAGAAAGTTGGAACTGGGAGGCAAAAACAGGAGCTGGTACAGGCATGGCATGCTAGACGCGCTCGTCACCCCGAATACCACAGTTAGAACGTGCCCGCGCCGCATTCGAGCCTGGGGCACAGAGCACGGAGCACAGAGCACAGAGCAAGGAGTGCTGAGCGCGGGTCCAACGGGGTCGGATCGGGTGAAACCCGGGACACAAGCTCTGCCAGTGGCGTCACCAGGCACCCTGATACACGGATGTGGAGGCTTAGTGCCAATATTTGTGACAAGTGTCAAGTGAGCATGAGGTTGTCCTAACAAGCTCACTGCTCACTGTTTGTCCGGACAGCAGTGAGCGCAAACGACGTCCGGGATCCGGTAAAAGAACTTTTGAAACCCATTACTGCGCACTTGGTTATGTCCGGGATCCCATGCAAAAGTCACATCCGGATCTGGGGTAGCGGATATTTTTTCCGCCTCCACCTGTGCCAGGGCGTACCAAGTGTATAGCGGCACGGAGCTCCGCGCGCATGTTTCATGGTCGTGAGTCACGGTCAGCCAACGCTGATGACCATCAAACCCTCTGCACCAACCAGCACAGTGCACTAAATCACCGTCCCATCATTTCGATCAGCATCATCACCACCATAAACGACCGACCCAAACCATAGTGCAGTGCAAATGCAGCCGCACAAAGGTGGCCGCGGCCGTCCCTATAATCAGGTCGAGTCGGTCGCGCCACACCCGGCACTGCACCGGTAGGGTCCGGACAGCTGGCGTCACTAAGACATAACACACCGACAGCAGTGCCGGACGGTCACGGAACATCGCGTGGTCCGGTGGCGGGACGCGCACTGGGACCACCACTGATGCCGGATACACACGGGTGAATCACCTGCAGAAACCATTCGTCATAAAAAGAAGAGCGATAGGCGGTGCCAAAATGAGTAAGCAATACAAAAGGATGTGATGATGTTTGGGTTTTAGACATGTAGAGACCATCGGCGCAATATAAAAGGAGGGTCCTCATGATAATGTTATTATAAGTACCCATATCGCTGCCAGGCATTATCAATATGTATGCCTATAAAAAACAGCATTGGCGCGATCCTCCCTGGAAAACTGCCAACAATAATCCGGGTTATGACGCCGTGACCAGGGCACACCACAAGTGTCCAATAACGCGGCACTGGCCGCACTGCGCAAACAGCACATATCGGCGCAATATGCCGCGCCCCGGAACTACAGTCGGGTCGCTGCCGTCCCGGCTGACCGGGCAGGTCATTGGCAATACCCTCCACCGGCTCGGGTCACGACGGGGAGAGTAGAGAGAGCGTCTGCCGGCGGAAGACAGAGTGGAGGAGAGAGTTTCCGGTGCGACGTCGTCGTCGGTTAGAGCCGCGCGGGCGTCTCCTCAGCACTGCAGACTGCGTGGAGCGTGGAGTGCAGGTAGGCGGACAGTCTCCTCTCAGAGCCCGCCGGCCGGATGTAGCCAGCCATCTACCACCCGACCCCCGCCGAGGAGGGAACGAGCGGGACAGGTCACTAGGGGGTTCGATACTGCACGGCACCGCAGAGTGCAGGTAGGCGGCCAGTCTCCTCTCGAGTCTGCCGGCCGTTACCAGTCGCCCACCAGTCGTGAGTCGACTCCAGCCGGGGATAGAGCCAGGGAGGGGGACAGAGGTCACTGAGGACTCGACACGGCACGCCACCGGCGACAGGAGCCGTGACAGCAGCGGCACGCCATCAGAGGATCAGCGCCAGGTCAGGGCCGCGCTGACCGGCTGTCAGCACGAACTGAAACGCCGACGGACCGACGGACTGTCAACATGAGCTGAAACGACGACAGACGGACCAACTGACCGACCGGATCGACCGTCAACACTAGCCGAAACGCCGACGGACCGACGGACTGTCAACACGAGCTGAAACGCCGCGCCGACGGACCGAACCGCCGACCGACTGTAGGAGTCTGACTGACTGTCAACACCCGCTGAGACGACGACGGACCGACGCGTCGGTCACTGACAAAACTCGCATTGATAGATTGACGGAACGATATTGGTCTTTGACAAGATAGGCACGGGCCCCAATCAATCATCAATCGCTTGCGAGAAAATGTGTCGCAAATTTCTAACCAGGCACTGTTGAGTATCGACAGGCCCTTCAGCCTACAGCGGGTCAAGCTAGACAGACCAGTAACCAACAGACCACAGCAGACCATTACCAATCATTGCTAGACCCTCAGACCTCTGTGTATGCGGTAGGTGTTCAGATATCTATGCTAGACCACCCCACGAAGTCACAGCGACCGGTCTACCACCATCCCTTCAGCCCGCATCCCCCGCCAGTTGGCCGCCAGCCGCCATTGACATTCAACGGGTCGTGCCTCAGAGAGTATCGAGTGAGGAATTTAGCACCACCGGGTCACATACCGTGACACAACCCGGAGGCAGCGGCAGCACGTTCCCATTTGGCACGTCCGCGGCCGACTCCGGCGGAATGGCGAACCGGTCACGGGCGGCGGTTGCCACGGTCACCACATTGACGACATCCCAGGAGGGAGCCGCCGGTCCTCAAAGGAGCCATTCAGCTTCCGGCTGGCAGCTGACCGACGCGACGATACAGAGGCAGAACAGCAGCACGGGAGGCGGCTATACAGAGCCAAAATGGTGCGGTGGACTGAGGGAATGGTATGGTGGCGGAATGGTCTGACAGCACATCGCAGCAGCGGCTCAGAATGTCGCGGCGACTATGTAGGGATTTGGTAACATTTCGGTCGACATTAGCATTCTCAAGCCACGCGTCTGATGCAGCGCTAATTAGTCGCGCTAATTGGTCTCTGACTTGACCTTTAAAGGTCATCCCTGGACCCGTGATATCTACCATGGGCACCGTCGGGCGTCGGCTTCCTCTCATGGTGGGTGCGAAGCTCTACATTGATTAGGTGCTAAACGTCCTCGGGCTCCTACCCCTAACGCCCCACCCCATCCCACAACCTCCTTTTGCCGACGAGGATGACAGGCATTGTTGGCGCTGGCAATAATTAAGAGGATCACTAAAACCAGCCAGTACACACGCCAAAATTGGATGTTGTATCGTATCAGTTCGCTAGACAAGGAAAATACAACGCCGTCCGGTCTTATCCCATGCTTTAGGCATATTTATAAAAAAAAAACTTAGATGGACGAATGAACGAGTAGGCAAATAAATGAGCCAATGAATGAGTGAATACCATGACAAAATGAACTGGTCACCGCATCGTCACGGCTTGGAAAGGGTTACAAAACCGTGCAGTGGCTGTCAAAACAAGCAAACTGACGGCCACCACACTGCCCTTGCAGATCACCACGGACCCCCGAGCAGATCAACCATTAGCGTCGCCACGGGGGGGGCAAGCGGGGCAGCTTGCCCCCCAACCTCGGACCGGGCACTCCCTGAGATCGATACAGATCCGATGAGATTTTGGAGTCGGGAAAAAATGGGGGCACCTTTCTGAGAATGCCTGTGAGGTCAGACTCGGTTGAAGGGTGCAGTTCAGGCCAGAGTCGGAGTCGCAGTCGCCAAAATCTTCACGACGCCGATTCCAGACTCGGGAAAGTCAATACTGTGATTCATTCCATGTTCCTAGTTGGTTCTTTATTACATTTTATAGCCGATTTTCATAAGTTTTGAAGTGCTGACACAAAATTTACGTTCAAAGTGTGACACTAAATCTTCGGGCCTTCTAAACTCTCGTCAAATGTCTCCGACAGACTCAAGTACCGTTCAAGTGCCACAGGGCTCATGAGCTTGCTTCTTTTCACACAGGCTCCGAAGGAGCTCCACTGAGCTCTAAGAAGCCTTCAGAGGGCCCAAACCGGCCTCTGAGAGTCCCACTGGTGTCCATATTCTCTGAGGGCCCATATGTACAGGGATCTTTGAGGACCTTACACATGCGTAGATCTCTGAAGGGCCACACGGATCTTTGAGAATACTTTCGAAAATTTGAGAACCTTAGGCCTCTGATAGCTCAGCCGAGCTTTTCAGGCGACAAATTTTGCACAACTCACGTGTGCCTCTGAGGGTCCCAGCCCATGTTTCAATTCTTATGTCTCTATGTAGGGTCCTTAGGGATTCGACACAGACCTCTGGGGTTCACACTGCTATCTGAGGGCTCCCGGCTCACCCTGGGCCTGGTCTCTTAGCGCCCGCCGCCCACACTGGCTTCTGAGGGCCCCACCTTGGGCTCGGAAAGCCCTAAAGCACCACAAACACGTAACTATTTGGGGTGACCAACGCCGATCTTCAGGATCCTAAGCAGGCTTCTGAGAGCCCACACTGACCCTGAGTGGCCTAAAATGGCCTGGAAGTCCCAGGCCTGCCGCTAAGGGATCCCTTGCCGCTATGCCGTGCGAAATTTTGGCTCCGTTATCTTTTCTTCGCATTTGCAGCGCTTCCCTACACATGAAAAACGAGAAACTTTTTGTTCACACGGGAAATGTGAGTTCTTTATTCCACGTCTGCGATTGCGCGCCCACTTGGCGCACCGCCAACCAGAACACAACCACGCCCAGCGCGGGCCGGCGGCCGACTCCCGGAAACCCCGAGTCCGCGCGCCGGCGCCGCCAGAGGCGTCGTAGAACCTCTGCGACTGCATGCATGCGTGAATGAAGGTTTCAGCAAGGTGATTCAATTACTGAGCGTTTTTAACCTTTTTTTCTGGGTGATGATCATGAGCGACAAGCGTCTGAACGGGGGCTCTCTAGAGTGCGTCGGCAATCGCAGCCATTGTGATTCTACCGGTCGTGTTTTTGTCAAAAAATTTCAAAATTTTGAATTTTCTGTAAAAAATGACATGTCATAGCTAGAAGGAAAACCTTGTCACCATCGTATTCCTCGCACTATTACGTGTCGAATGACATGTAGAATGAATGAGTAACGACTGGAGAAAGGCAAGATTTAACACAAAAGTTGATTTGCCCCCCCCCCCCAACCGAAAATCTCTGGCGACGCCTATGAGATCAACAGTTGTCCAAACAGATGGGGCGACCAGTGACCTGAAACCATCAACTGTTTAACGCGACCTCGGCTCAATTCCCATCCCCCATTGTGACAATTAAATTTTCTGGTCTGCGAGGACTCAACTCGTTGAAAATGGCGCAGTGTTTAGGCACTGCGCAGCAGTTTGTGAATTGCGCATTTTAAAACAGACTAGTTAGCAGGTACAGACTACAGAGGCAGGTGGTTCTTCGAGCAAAAACTTGAACGATTTTGAACTTGAACTTGAAGACAAACTTGAAGACGATTTTGTACAGACACTTATTCAATTTTAAGCATGATGAAACGTCTCCTTCGTTTGATCAAGTACAGGTTTCCGAAATGATGTTCCTTCTCACTTATATCTATCCTCATACATAAGGGTTGAAATTCTATGTTCATTACCGGCTGAGTAGAAATAGTTGCCGATAAAAAAACAGCTAATTAATTTCCCAATGAATTCGCTGTGCGCACTGCGCAACATTGGTTAAGCTTATGAAAAAGGTAATTAATGAGTCTTAACGCAGCCAGAAACATCCGAAAGAGGGCGATTGACTTCGATTTTTTATGCCATTGACATTCTTGGTTGTTTTTCTCGATGCTGTTTAATGTTCATGTCAGATTTTGCCAAACTTAAAAAACATCAATCATCCTCAAACTAATTACAAGCTATCATCTCCACCAGCTTAACACACAGACATGACACTACAAAATGTGTGATGAATCGTTAATTATCTGAGAAGCGAATGAGATTTTCCCGACAAAAAAACAACAAGTTGTATTCGATGATAACGGGATAAAACTACAAACAAAAGACAATAGGACAATAGGCTGAGCAGGTTTGCAGCTACCAAAAAGGCAGTACACGGCAGTCGGCACTTAACGCAAGGAAAAATAAAAAGTCACCCGACATCAATAAACACAAAGACCAGCGATTTGTTGAAGCTACTCGTAGAACTAAAATCCTAAGACCGATCCGGCGAGTGGCGAAGGTTATTATTTTCAGGTTTTGTCGATAATGGAATTGTCAGTCAGGTAACATCATTAGGGAAATGACATTTTCCTGACAACATAATGGTGGGCCAATTCCCTAACTGTTTGCTGCCAGGCCACCCGCGTGTCTGCCGATGACCGGACCGCCGCGACGTCAAACCATGGCCATTGCCATGAACGACGGTGCCCGGTGTGGGACGTCGTGACCAGCACGACCAGCCGGTCAGGGTCTGGTAGGTGATCTGGGCATTACGCACGCACGGGCTCTGCATCAACTCCTGAGACGCTACACGCCACAGGAACTGGCAGAGAGCGTCCCGGCGCCAGGAAGCCGTGAAGAAAGGAACCATGTCAGCTCACCCTGCGGTAAATTGTGGTCCAGTCGTGCCAGTGGTCACCGTCGCCGTGCTGAAATTCCAGCGCGTGGTGGTCTTTGCAGAGTGCGCAGAACAGTCGCACCATGTCCATGTAGCCGGCCAGCAGCGGGTGGCCGCTGCCCTCCTGCCAGGCGGCCGCCGCCGGGCCGTCACCGCGGGAGCGCATGGCCGCGCGGCGGACACCCGTCACCTCGTCTCCGGCACCCGTCGCGCCCGTTCCGACACCACCCCCGAGAGCCGTCGACGCTCCTCAACCACGTCTGCTGAAGGCGCACCACCCACCGGCGCCGCTGCGACCCCGCGCGTATCGACCGACGACACAGCCACACGGAGCTCGGTGCGACAGAGGCGCTCGCACGTCCGCCCGCGGCCGCAGCGCATCGACCAATGCCGACCAGTTCCGGCGGGCGGGAGTCGTCGGCGCCGGCGGCGGCGCAGGAGTCCAGGTGGCGCCACCGGAGTCCGACGACGACACGACGGTCGCCGTTCGGCGGTCAGCGCCCGGTGGACAGGAGGATGTGGCGAGCGGTGTCCAATGTGGCGGTCTACTCGGAAACTCTGTGCCAAAGATAGAGTTTGGCCGGTACTGAATGGCTGGCGACAACGTAAGGTTGCCGCAAAACGGAAGACCTGGCCAATGGCCAATCAGTATTTTTCCTTGACCTGACCACAGCCTTAGCTCGTCGTCATTGTTTTGTCAATGGCAGCATGTTTTGCCAGTCAACAAAAGTTAACAAGACAGTCCTTATCAAACGAATCGATAGATGGTTCATCAAAACATTTCAGGAAATTACTTCGCATATCGAAAGTTCTCGTTCCAAGCTGGCTTATGAACGACGGCCGATGCCTGACGACATCCTTTCAGCCGTAAAGCCAGTGGAAAGTCGTGGCTTTCCAGTTTCCACCTGCTAACACACTGTTCCGTCGGTGTATCGTACACCACGCCTTATAAACACCAGGCACTGTGGTGTCTGTCACACACATCTTTGGTCATCAAGCATGCATTTCATTTAGAGCTTCAACTTTCATCCCACAAAGCTCTTCGCAGCTTCATTCCATTTCTTACAAATACCTAATGCGGAACAAGGAAAATGGAAATCCTTTCCAAGAAATGTTCACACCAAGAGCAGATAGAGTAGGTAAAGTTGAAAACAGCATACGGAGGTGACATGTTAATCAGACGACACTCAGTCGCTCATGATTTATTAGCTTAGGAATGATAAATTATACGAATGTTTTGAAATAATGTATGTGCTTCATATCATATGAAAATGAAATAATAAATGTATGTGTGTGTCCGCGTGTCGAACTTACGCATCAACTGCGACTGACCACCCAAGGCAGAGACGTGTCAGCTCTGGGGGCTCGTCCTCCCAAGGACAAACGAATGACGACCAAAGGTCACACAGAGGCCAGAGTCCAGAGCCGCGCCCCCCGCGAGCCCCTGTCGAGCCCTCACGCTGTGTATACGGTACAGCTGGACCCACAGCCAGGGCCGACGCTACCCTCCATCACCCAGGCACAGAGTGAGGCCGTCCTTTGTCTGGTCCGTTCTCTGAAGTCTGAACCTAGCTTCTCTGTCCAGCGCGTCGGAGAGGATCCCCTCTTGTCCTCTCCCTAACCACGCAGCTGAGGTCCCCTTCAGCGAAGTGGCAAAGCATATAACAGAGATTTTTCTCCGCTTTGCACTTGCGCGCGTACTCACTTATATAATCCACGCACAGACAGGCATCGATGCATTGCGGCACAGCATAACTGCAGGCGCTAATCCCTGCTGCCATCTGACGGGGGAGAGGTAAGCTCGCGCAGGCCTGAACGTTATTCCGCAGCGGAAAACGAAATATTGCACTGCTACATTATTCATAATAACCTAGAGACTTCCTGTCTTTGTTTGAGTGTTTTGATATAACAGAGAGCGGCTAGAGCTCGGGCATTCACTATACATGTTTTGATAGTGAAAATATATCTGCCCACATCTTTATTTTTATTCATTATTCTTCATCTCCACTGATGGACATCAGTTGAGATGAAACATAAGGCCTACGAGAGGGAAACATCACAAATCTATTTTCAGCCATAGCAGGTCTGTCCAGAGGCCTCTTGCACCAAAATCCTCTTGGCTCTTGCACCAATCCTTGGATTCTGTTGCACCGTACACCTACTCCAAGACTATTTAGACAATTTACTTGTAATTCCACCAAGCACCTGTAGGCTTACATTATGGGAAAGTACAAAATACCATTAAGTTGTTGTACTTCCACCATGAGGTTAGCTAGCTCTGAAATAGGTTTTCGATTTTACCTAGCTCAGTAGTTTGGTGCGAGAGGCCTCAGCTTGTGTTTCGGCTAACAAAGTGATACAAGATCACTGCTTATAATACAGTATCAAATAATATAATATCAAATAATGAATATTTCGAAATATTGGCATACCTCCGCTATAATAGCCGCTACAACCACTGTGTTGGCATACGCTAACCAGCGTCTGGTGTCTATATACGCTGAGCTCATTTGCCGCGACCGGACCGGTCTGATCCAGCTGAATTCGGCCACCCACCAGCCGCTGCTCCCCAGATACAGTCTCCAGCTGCATCTGCCCCCCCACCCACCCCACCCCCCACCCCACCGGTTACCCGACAAGGCCAGATGACGAGCGAGCGCCGCACGACAACATCATACCGCCCCAGCAGCGGCCGGGCCAGGCCGCAGATGCAGAACACCCTGATGTAACCGGGCCAGTGTGACGAAAAATGTCACACAAAACTCGCAGAAAACAGAGACCGATGCTGAGCAGATGAGCGTGTGTTGTTGGTATTTCATCAGCGGAAAATTCACAAAGTCAATCTGGACAGGATGAAAACAGAAGAGATGAGACCCATTCGTCTGGGAAATGATTTATGAAGGTAACAATGAAGTCATCTAGCTCGGAGACGCCTTAGTGGTAGCTGCGGTGCGTGTTGTTAATGCAGCAGCAGAGGCCATTACTGAAAAAAAAAAACTGAGCGAGCTGATATAATTGGTGAAAAAGAACAAATTATGTACCAGCAAACAAAAGTGCAGTAAATGTAATAAAATTAAGCGTACCGCAAAGGTGATAACCGGAGTCAATCCTACGCTTGAAAAATGGAATGTTTCAACGCCAAAAAATATAAATTTATCAACCAAAAATTAATGATTAAAATGAATATATCGGAAACAGTGCATTACAGGGGCGTAGGCAGGGGGGGGGCCACTGGGCCATGCCCCCCCCCCTTGGGCAGGGAGGGCGCCGAAGGCGCCCTCCAATCGCAAATGCAATTGTGATATAATCGAATCGAAAAACAATCGCGACTGGAGGGCGCCCTCCAATCGCGAATGTGTTTACAGGGAAAATACGGATGGAGGGCGCCCTCGGAGGACGCCCATTCCAAATACGCCCTCCAAATACGGTTGGAGGGCTCCCTCGGGCGCCCTCCAACCACATTTGTAGGCTGTAGCTCTCTAAGCGTAACGGTGGTCGCCTATGTAAGCCGCTGTCCTGTAAATAAGCGCCCTCTCACCCGAAGGCGCCCTCCTGTAGGTCGCCACCCTGCTACACATTGCCGCTCTTCTGCTGATCGGCGTCCTCATAATTATTGGCGCTCTCCTACCTATTGAGCCCTCATGTGAAATTTTGAAGGCCGCCTTTCTCCCTTTTGGCACCCTCTTGTTCAGTGCCGCCCTCCTACCTATTGGTTCCCTAGTCCTTCCTGTTGAATGTTAATCGGGGCCCTTCTCCTATTGGCGCCCTCGTGTAGATCGCCGCCCTCCTAACCACTGGCACCCTCCTGTTGATCACCGCCCTCCTATCCACTGGCACCTTCCTGTTGACCAGCGCCCTCCGCACAGACGCCCTCCTGTTCGTGTCATCCTCTTGAGCAAAGGCGCCCTCCTCACCATTGCCACCCCCATTTTAATCGTCACCCTTCCGCTCATTGGCGACTTCCAGTTGATGACCACCCTCCCACCTATTGGCGACCTCTTGTTGATCGCCACCCTCCTATTGGTGCTCTCCTGTTCCTCGCCACCCTCTTACCTGGTGGCGCCGTCCTGTTGATTGTTGATCGGCGCCCTCCTACCTATTGGTGCCCTCCTGTTGATCGCTGCCCTTCTATCCATTGGCGCCCTCCTGCTGCTCGCCAACTTCCTACCTATCGGTGCCCTACTGTCGAAACTCGGGATGTTGATCGGGGCTCTTCTACCTATTAGTGCCCTCCTGTGGATCGCAGCCCTTCTACCTATTGGCAACATCCGTTGATCGCTGCCCTCCTATCATTTATTTACTCCTTTGGCATGTTTTTCAACTTAGTCGTTCTATTGCACATAGTTGATGTCTTGCCTGTGAAAACTGCCACAAATGAACGTGCATTCAGCACAATGAATGAAGTATCTATACCTACCAAAACTATCTACGCTCTACGATGCATAAAACACGTCTTTGGTCTTAACGGATTGATCCTACTTTACGTGCATCATGGCATCTATATGGATTACGATTAAGTATTGTCAACAGGTTCGGGCGCAACAGCAGGCATCTGAAGTTTCGGTGATTGAAACTGGTTATGTGGGTACACTGTATGCATCTGTGAGAAGGCTATGAAGGCTGGTCTGAGGTAATTTGGATGATGTTTACGCATCTCGCGCTCCGGTATCAATCCGATACGGTGATCTGGTGCGTAGATATGCCACCGCCAATAAACTTTTATACATCGACACCCATGAGCCAAGCTTTCTGTACAGTTTGTGTGGCAGCGGCCCGACCAAACCTTATGTATTTTTTACACCTTCAAATTTGGTAAAAGAGCGAGAGGAGCTTTGAACAGTGATCGTATAAAAGGCGTGCCTAAAAAGCGGAGGAAAAGGTTGTTTTCAAAAATTTCGCGCGCCTTCGGCGCAGCATTTCAAGAACACTTGACCTTTTGTGACCTGGAGTATAAAGAATACCTACACACGATGCAAAATCAATGCAGCACGACCTATACGAGGTTACGCAAAAAAAAAAACTGTTGGCATGGTAAAAAACGCCTCCCAACCCCCCAACCCCCACTGAGCGATTTTTTATCTCGCGACCGTATGGCGCCCTCCTTGGGTGAGGTGGCGCCCTCCAAACCCTTGGCCCCCCCCCTTCGCGATTTTCTAAATACGCCGCTGGTGCATTAGTATTAAACAACACCTATATTCATGTAAATATGCACACTGCAAAACTTTGGAAAAGATATGCGCTTCATCGGAGCCTTCGTCAAAAGTGAGGTCGAAAATGTCAAGAACTACTGTTTTCTTTTCCAGTAACCTTCCCCTTAACCCTATTAGTGGCAGGCTCCTGGCTACCCCATATTTGTGGCAGGGGGGGGGCTGTTTACGACCCCCCCTTGATATCTC